CACTTGTCCCCCGAATGTATTCGTCTCTTTTATAAATGCTACCTCCTTCCTATCTTTCTCTACGGCGCTACTGCTTGGCATTCCCTGCTTAGTAAATCTGCTGTACAGACACTAGAAATATAATTATCATAAACGTGTGTTGAAAATTATTTTTCGTAAACTCTCTCTTTTCCCCTCTACTGATCTATATAGTTTGGCCTCCACCAGCCCCATCTCTATTCTGTCGCAGAGACAGTCATGCGTTCTGGTCCATCGTATTAAACTGAACATTGTCCCTGAACATCTCACCAAGTATAATTGGTTTACTTTCGCACGGGACACTCGCAATGGCATAGTACTTCCCAGAGCTTTGTCAACTATGTTTACCAAATCTCCTATTTTCTCTGCATACTCGTATTGGCTCAAGCTGCCCATGGAAATGAAGACAATATCCAATATTAGACAGTTCATAGACCATGTTAAATGTCATGCCACGTTGTAGGCTCGCTCGCCTCTTTTGCTAGCTTATCTCGCCGCTCTCCACCATGGTCAACATAGTGGTACATTTCACCCCGCTGATGCATTATTTTCTTCCGATTATCATCTTCTTTCCTTCATTTTTTTTCTTCTCTTGCCATGGCTGGCTAACGCCCCCTCCTTTGCATTGGCTTCTGCCATTGGACGGTGAAATAAATAATAATAATAATAATAATAATAATAATAATAAGCTGTGTGGACCCTGGCTAGCGCCAGACGTTACTGAAGTAACATCTTCTGCATGGCTACGGGAATAAAAGAAAATATGTGGGTGTACATCCAGTGCACTTGTTGATTTGCATGCTTTTCTCGCCACGGTCGCATACATGGAACATTGTGTGTGTGTGTGTGGGTGGGTGCGTGTGTGTGTGTGTGGTGTGGTGTGGTGTGTGTGTGGTGTGGTGTGGTGTGTGTGGGTGTGTGTGGGTGTCCCATATGGTGCAGTGGTATGTGCAGCGATTTCCGATCGATAGGTTGCGGGTTCGATTCCCGACGATTATGGTCGCACACGTCTTTCTTCTCTTTCTCAGACTCCTGACTTTTCTTTCATTCTCCTGGGTGGTTACCAATAGCCAGTGCACGCCGGAGTATGTGGTGTGATGTGCGTGCATGAAAAAAAATTAAAGACCAAAAAGTAGGGATTCACTGGCCAGAAAAAGCCACTTCATAGCTGTGTGGTGTAGACCAGGCTGAATAGCGGCGGTCAATTCTTCAGCCTTGCAAGCTGTTACATTGTGCAATCCCAGCACAAGTTGCTATGGCTTCTGCTATAGCATCGCCGATGGGCGTCATGGTGTGTGTGTGTGTGTGTGTGTGTGTGTGTGTGTGTGTGTGTGTGTGTGTGCCATCGCTGTGGACCCCGCTCGAAGCGCCCTACAGTGGCTGATCGCCAGCACTTTGAACATCATTGCCGAGTCTGTAATCAACGCCAGTTTCGGACGCGACAGGACCTGGAGCGCCATTTGAAGCACTGCCTACCTCTCCCCTAACCTCTCTGACAGTACCTCCCTTTGGGGAGCGGCGTGGCCATTTCTGGCAGCTGTCAATAGTAGTACAGTCGTCCCTCTCTAATCCGGCACTTTATAATCCAGCACCCTCGATAAACCAGCACAATTTTCAGTAGCCAAAATGTCCTCTTCATGCACATTGCAGCAGTAAATCAGATTTGTTAATCCAGCACCCTCCCTAATCCAGCAGATTTTCGTGGCACAAATGGTGCCGGATTATAGAGGGACCACTGTAGTAGTGTGTGTGTGTGTGTGTGTGTGTGTGTGTGTGTGTGTGTGTGTGTGTGTGTGTGTGTGTGTGTGTGTGTGTGTGTGTGTGTGTGCGTGTGTGTGTGCGTGTGCGTGTGTGTGCGTGTGTGTGTGCGTGTGTGTGTGCGTGTGCGTGTGCGTGTGTGTGTGTGTGTGTGTGTGTGTGTGTGTGTGTGTGTGTGTGTGTGTGCGGTGTGGTGTGCGTCTGTGTGTGTATGGGGATATTACTGTCTGTATCGGCTTTTGGTACAAATGTTCTGGTCTGTGCTTGCATGTGTGAACATGACATTGTTCTGGTCTATGCTTGCATGTGTGAACATGACATTGTTCGGTTCTCTGCATGCTATGTTGTATATTAATATTATGTAATTTTTTTAAGTATGCGTGCAATCGTGTGCATTGACACAAACAGTGTAGACGAGCATAGAGTGTACATTCATCCCTCATCAACCACTCCCCCCCCCCCCCTCAGGCTTGGGCAAACGAGAGTTTTCTGCGTACCTCTCATCTCTTTGTTTGTTTCTCTCTGATACTGTATTGATTTACATGTACCTCAACGTGTGCCTCTATCTGCAGTCGCCTTTATCCTTCGGTCAAGTTAGCGTTTATTGCGCTTTATTTACTGTGCGAATCAAAATATACGATAATAACAAGTCATGCTAGAGTGACGGCATGTGCGTGTATTAGGTTTGATGCGATGGGACATTATATGTGGAACAGAACCCGCATTGGGCAGATTGATTGGGATTGTGCTCGTATCAAACAGTGAACCGATTCATCTCCAGTGGCATACTGTAGTGGTTAGCCTCTACTACGTAGTAGTACTGTCGCGGACATGGAAATCCAGTCGATTGACCGGGGCCGGCGCCCTCTGCGCCTACAGAACGTAAGTCGTTGCATGCAGTGTACAACCATGTTGATCCGATGCGACCAGCAGCAGCAATATGTGCTACGGCTGCATGGCCAGCGCCCTGGGGCCGCTAGACGTGCGACCGGATTTCCATGCCCACGACAGTACTTGGGTAGCTGGCACTAGTCAATGGGCCATGGGGCACTGGCCTCGCAGCCGTGAGCACTGCTGGTCCATTTTTTCCGTGTGTACGTGAACTACACTAGCGCATGTACGCGCTAAAAGCAGTAAGGGCGCCGGTCCCGGTCATTCCGTCGGATATCAATGCCCACTCCATTGCACATTGCTATCTGCACGATGCACGTTGTGGAGTACTTCGACAGGATACGAGTAAGTGGTGTGACTGTGTAGCTCGGGTATGCAAAAGAAGTTGGATTTAACGAGCATCGATTGAATAATGAATCCAGTAATCAATACTGTATGAAGACCTTCCTTGAGACACACGTTCCTCACTGATGCGCATACATGTATCGATGGGGCCCAAAAGCACAAAAAGCAAAAAGAGCAATGTTGCTTCCTGGTGAAAGGTCGATTGGAATACCAAACTAAAATAGATATGAAACCAGGGACTACACCTTGAAAACCAAGACAAGCCACTCAAAAGGAGAAGTAATTATCCCTGTAGAATGTACACTCACACTTCGGCTATCCTGGTCCCCAAGTTTTAATTACAGGCACTTCGGTCTACCTTTGGGCGAGTTTCAGAGGAAATAATATTTCCTCTGAAACAAAATAATATTTCCTCTGAAACTCGCCCAAAAGAGCAATAATATTATCTGGTTTGAGGGAAAGAGACAAACGGGAAAAGTCTGAAGAAAAAATTGACTGTCACCACCAGGACACGAACCAGGGACCCTCGCTTGTAGCCAACGATGCTCTAACCACTGAGCTATGGTGTAGTCGTCATCCCAGCAGAGGCCGTTCAACGTTTTCTTCAGACTTCGTAACTCACACTTCCTGTGAACCCACACAGGCGGGTGGGACGCAGCCCTCACTGTAACCCACACACTTCACGTACAAACTAGCACGCGGGGAGCCCCAAGAATAATAATAATAATAATAATAATAATACTTTAGTAATGAAGGTACGTGTTGGGTCGTAAGTATCCACGCAAACACACATCCAGTCAAAATAAGGCACTTGTCAAAGTATCCGAATGTGCGTTGCATCTGGCTGTGTTAGAAGCTTTGTATATCCGTAAGTTAGATCCTGAACTTTGCGTACAGAAAGAAAATGTGTTGTCGCTACAATTGTTTGGTGTTACTCCTCGTCGAGGTGTTAACAATGTAACTTAATTTGCTCACTATGTTCTTGTCGCTATTATTATTTCCTTCGAGTTTTGTGTCGTGCTGAACTTGATACTTTTTCCACCTTGTCACGAGTGTTGTTATCTCATATCTTTACGCTATATAAGTTTTAGTCTTTCCAACTTGAGCCATTCCCTGTATAATCCTTGATGAGAAGGGACCGAAAACGTTCGGATACTTTGACAAGTGCCTTATTTTGACTGGATGTGTGTTTGCGTGGATACTTACGACCCAACACGTACCTTCATTACTAAAGTATTATCCGCCTCCGACTTCTTGTAAAATAATAATAATAATAATATTAACTGGTTTGAGGGAAAGAGACAAACGGGAAAAGTCTGAAGAAAAAAATTGACTGCCACCACCAGGACTCGAACCAGGGACCCTCGCTTGTAGCCAACGATGCTCTAACCACTGAGCTATGGTGTAGTCGTCATCCCAGCAGAGGCCGTTCAACATTTTCTTCAGACTTCGTAATAATAATAATAATAATAATGACAGTTCGCATATCACTCATTGCATGAGGTCAACGCATCTGTTAACAATTTCGAGCCAAGCAGCTCTATCAGAAGCAGATTGCACAGCATCCAGAAGCGAGAGATTAAGGCATATTATAGTTGCAATAATATTATTCTTGCTCATTTGAAACTCGGATGTTGAGCCATAAATAAATGTAGAAAGGAAAAGAACATAAGGATACGAGTCAAGAGTAACTCTCCATCACTGTAACTGGATTGCTCTTTTGTCCCTTTTTTTTAAATAGTGACGCCATATGGCATATCTATGACTTTTCCCTATAGAAACGCGTGTGATTCGGAGTTACGGACATTTAAAGTTACGGGCAGTGCTCGGTCCCAGACTGACCGAATAACCGAGATATGAGTAAGATGTTTTATCAGTCCAGAATAATGGGGAGATGCTCCACCGGGCCATGGCATCTTACCGAAGAGAATCAGGCAACACAAATTTTGATATATTTCCCACACAAGAGAACAATGGCTCACATGGTATAAGCAAGTAACATTATATTATGCTGTGCTATGTTCGATGGGTCCTCTCGTGCAGATATCCAAGGACCGGGCCAGCTTGGGACGAACGCACATGTTTCTGCTGTAAATCGGTGGCCAGCTTGGGATGAGACCACACATGACTATGGTGTATATTGGGGACTGCTTGCACTGCATGCGCTGCAAATCGGAGCAGCTTGGAGTGAACACATAGTAATTATATTATGTTTATGCTGCATATGGGGGCGGGCCAGCATGGGGTGAGCGCACATGACTCTTCTGCATACAGCCCACTATGCGCCACAGCATAATGTTCATCATAGCCTAGGAGCTGTGGCATCACTCATGATCCACAGCAAGAAGGCAGCAATACCTGTACCTATGGTGAAGTAAAATAAAGGCAACATAACATATAGCAGAGCATAATACGGTTGTAGGTGAATCTGAAGCATATCACCAGCCACACACTATATACGGCATTGATAAAGCTATAGCTACCAGGAAACTGTGATGATGACTGATGACACCATACCGGTGACTAACACCATGCCGATGACTCCTGCAGAATGCCGGTGGCCCCGCAAAGCAAGGTAACAACCAGCCGCCAGATTATCAGCGGTTTCGGAGGTACCCGAGTCATCTTCTCATACCCACGGCAGCATCAACGTAAACCTGGAAACACATGCACAAACAAACACAGTGTGATTCTTGAGTCCAGGTCAGTGTGCTCAGCAAAAATGCTGAAGCACTCCAGAGCTTTCCCATGCACACATTTTTTCGGTTGCACAAGTTAGTCCCAAGGAAAAGGTTTTAACTCCCCCCCCCCCCCCCACCTATATCTTCTAGTTTATTTCACTAATCGTTATTTCACAGGCCCTTGGGTATGAGCAAACACAGTGTGTAGAGAATAATGAGCCGAGCAGATAACCGAGGCTAGCACCATGCAGGCTATTAATTTAGTATGTGAGTGTGTGTGTGGCGGGGGGGGGGGGGGGGGGTATGCGTGTGATAGGTGTGTGTGGGGGGGGGGGGGGGGTATGCGTGTGATAGGTGTGCGTGTGTGTGCATGTGTTTTCCCCGTCCTGTTCTTTTCCAGTCGTTGTCATTTTCAGGTTACAGTACAGCAGTCGTCCGCTCTCCTCCTTTGTTTCAGCAGTTCTGCTGCTGATTATTTATTTTGGCCATTGCACCTCATAGTGACCATGCTTGGGTGGAGGGCGGCATGACCCGTTCGAGTAGTAGTAGTGTGTGTGTGTGTGTGTGCGCGCGTGCGTGCTTGTGTGTGTTTGTGTGGGGGATGGTGCGTATGTGTGTGTGTGTGTGCAGGGACGAGATTATGGGTCGTGCCCAGATGAATTTCAGTATCATATCCTAAAAGCCCGGGGAAATTGTACAGCCGTGCAGAGTCCTTTCCTAAGTACACAGAATGCGTACAGTCAGCCCTCGCTCAACCCCACAGATCCGTTTACCACAAAAATATCCGGATAGGCGAGAGAACCAGGATAATCGAACACACATACTGTATGTATGCATGGCATATGCTGTAAATCGGTAACCAACGATTTTATTGCGGATGGCGAGGGATCCGGATAATGGAGGACCGGATAAGCGAAGTCAGACTGTAACATGATTTGCTAACATGATTAGCTGCTGTGTCATTCAGCTTTGCTATCGACACGGAAGATTAAAATTTCAAGTCACTATTTGTCTTCTAAGGTCTTTGCTCTCTTCAACATTTCCTTGGCGACTTGATATGCGTGAACAACAGTTCTACTTTTTTATTCTTAAGAATTCTGTTCAGTAGATGCATGACTATGCTTGACTATTGCAGTGCCTGTTCCAAGCACTGAACACACATACAGTTCAGCACCAAACAGATCACTATCCGGTGAAGACGTGTGCTGGGGTTATGTGTCGAAGCATGACACACACACATGTATCACTGATACTTCTGATGATCGCTGAAATGCGTGAAACTTAAAGGTACAGCTACATAACCTTTGGCCTCTGTTGTGTGTGTCACTGACACTCTCCCAGTGACAACCATGCACTCTCACACCTATACACCGTCACTGACACTGTCCCATGTGACGACCATGCACTCTCACACCTATACACCATTACTGACCGCAGCAGGCACACAACAACATGAACTTGCGAGAAACGGCGCCTGGAAAGTTACGTGTGAGAGCTGACACTGCAACATGCTGAATATCACAGTAAGGTTACTAAAGTCACGCCTGCCCAGTTGTCCTAAAATCACACAAGCCCAGCTCCTCCTAACGTCACGCCAGCCCAGCTGAAGACATGGTGGGAAAAAGAGGGTATAATTTTTGCAGGGGGGCAAGTAATGGGGGGAAAAAATGCAGGGGTTTTTGATGCAGCCAAATATACTCTCCCCCACAATAAATTGGCAGGGGGGGGGTGGTAGATCTAGAGTGAGCCTCCAACCCCACCCTCCACCGTTCGATGGTTTGCTTATATAGCTGTCTGGCTGGGAGGTGTCAAAACTCGGCCAATCAGAGACAGGCATCACTCCAGCGTGTCCAGCGTGCTCCAGCGTGCTACATACAACAACCTTCACTTACAGTTGGGCGACAGGTGATAGAAGTCGATCATGCGGTGATAGAAGTCGATCATGCGGTGATAGAAGTCGATCATGCGGTGATAGAAGTCGATCATGCGGTGATAGAAGTCGATCATGCGGTGATAGACGTCGTGCAACAAGCGCTGGATGTCGTGCTGGACAACGATGTGCAAGCAGGGCTTTTCTATGCCGTGGTAACCTGTAGAATAACAGCAGGAACCGGAAACATAGCACTGAGTTAGAATCGACACCATCCAACACAACTCGCACATTGCACTAACTTTACATGATGTGCAGCACGGCTTGTGAACAACTGAGCAGGGTACTGGGTACATGATGATTGTGATCATCATAGCCAAGAAATACTCATGCCATTCAGTATGGTGTGAGTAGAGGAAAGGATGGTTTATATCCTAACGAGTTCGTGGACTTCGATTTCCTGCTGCCCGATACAGTTGCAGTCAGTCCAGCTCCGGCGACGTTTCAACTCCGTAGCCCCTCATATGTTGCTCTTCTGGCGCTAGCATTTATTTGAATCCGAACCCAGAACTGCGCTTCGTAGGCTGCATGATGGTAGCACTTGAGTTGAGACCTGGACAGTGTTCATGAATGGTCTGTGTTCCACTGTTCCTCACCGCGTTTCACGAGTGCCTGTAGACGTATTTGGCCACGATCGTCGCGGCCAATCGCCAGCTTTTGCCACCTAGAAACTGGACGTTATCAATACTCAATCTGCGGACAACTGTTTCGTCCTTTGTGGACTCATCAGCGCAGCACAGAGGGAATTAAGCCGAACCTGATAGCAATGGAAAATAAAATAAATCTCCAAAGCCAGGTTATCAATATCAACTTGTGGCAACTGCGCCTCGCGGTGTACTGGAACAGCACGACCCGCCTGCCAGCAGTGCAGCTCAGTGCACTCGCCAGCATTTCCGTGCGCATTTCGTCCTACTCACCAGTACAGATCCGCATCACGTACCGCAACCGTATGCCGCTACTACGAGTACGGCGCTTGCACGCGTCAGCTCAGGCAGTGCTAACTCCAGTGCCGACAGGAGCATCCCAGGGCAAAGTGTAAGGCCTCATCAGTAACTGTGTAAGCACTCAGTTTCTCACTTCTCAAAATTACTGGACTCACATCCTGATCCTATGCTCCGGAGGTATGTTGCACATGGTCGTAATTGTGGGGTTGTGGTAGGTTTCATCGGCAACCACTCAACTAACTGGGATCCATTGAATTTAACACGGTCACATGCTAACCCAGATTATATTTCTGCGCAACGATCCGTTTCTTGCAGCAGGCTTGAAACAGCTGGCCGATCCGTTTCTTGCAGCAGGCTTGAAACAGCTGGCCCGTGTTCTTCACCCCCCTTTCTCGCCTCTGTGCTGTTCCGGCGTAGATGCGGTTCCTAGACGAACGGGAAGTTACACACGACACACCCTTTGTAAAGCCTGGAGGGTCGAAGTGTCAACGATTACATTCCAGCAGACCGTGTCTCTCCACAATGTCAAGATGACAATGCTGCAAACATGATTAGACAATTGCTCGCCCCGCTGTATCTTGCTAAGCTCAATGTTAAAAGTGCATTCTGCCGAATTCCCGTCTGCCCGGAGGAGTGGCCCTTGTTGAACCGCTGGCAGGATCAATACTGTTATGAGAGCGTCCTGCCCTTCAGACTGTACAACGCTCCAGGCCAGCTATATGGAACTCTGTCGCATCCGCCAGTGAATGGATTGTGTGCGGGCAGTTCGCACTCCCACGCCTGTTGCATTACGGGGAATACCTCAATTAATGTTACTTCCTCAATGCATGCTCTGGACTTGTGTTACCTCGCCAGCAACTCGCTATTCTGCTCCGAGCGTTTACATACCTCGGTGTTTCTCTGGCCCCAGCAAAAGTGGAGGGTCCAGCTCAATTCCTGACGTTATTGGCATCTTCCGATTACGGGAAATACCTCGACTAACGTTTCTGTCTCCATGCATGCTCTGGACTTGTGTTAGCTCGCCAGCAACTCGCTACTCGGCGCCGTGCGTTTACATACCTCGGTGTTTCTCTGGCATCAGCAAAAGTGCTTCCTCGATGTATGCTCTGGACCTGTGTTAGCTCGCCAGCAATTCGCTACTCGGCGCCGTGCGTTTACATACCTCGGTGTTTCTCTGGCGTCAGCAAAAGTGGAGGGTCCAGCCCACGTCCTGACGTTTATCGGCGTCATCCTGGACACCCGCGCGCTCACATCAGTCTGCCGATGGACGAACTTGCCAAGCTTCACGACCTCCTACGGGCCACTCTCAACACAGCTTCAACTACCCAATGTCAACTCGAGTATCTTTTGGGAAAGCTCTCGTTTGCTACAAGAATGATAGTCCCAGGACGCACATTGCAGATTGTGGTCACTTGCCAACTGGTACCGGCAGCCGTATTACCTGATCAAGCTCTCCGAAGAGTGCCTCAAATACCTTCGCTGATGGCCTTAGCTCCTGGAATAGTAGAACGGCCGGTCCTTCTTCCTACACCCTAAGTGGACGCCGTCCCCCAACTTGCTGCTATTCACTGATGCAAGTGGTGCACTTGGCTGGTGCGCAAACAATTGCAACCGGGGATAGGGCAATGGACAGTCAATCAAGCAGACCAGCCAATCGCAAAGAGTGGTTTGCAATTGTGGCAGCACCTGGAAAAGCTAGCGGCACCAGCAGCAGATGCCAATCGATCGGCTTTGCAGCAACTGCGAAAATCTTGCTCATCAGTTGTGGCTATGGCCTGGCGTCATACACCGGCCACTCGTTTCGAATCAGCTGCCGGACTCGATATTCAGAGAGGCGGGAAGGTGGAAAGCCATGTCTGCCCGAGTAACATTCAGAGGCCACCAGCAGCCAAAGCATGGGTGGCTGTGGCAATGGCCTCAGCCCATGATATCGAGTTCCTGTTAGTCAATCGTTACCGAGCTTGCACTGCTTACAAATATCACAGGTAGCTGCACTTTGTGATCCGCTCTGGGAGTGCCGATTTATGGAATATATGCTCTCAACTGGTTATGCATCTCTATATATCTAGCATTTGGCGGCTCTATTCAGAGTCATTGGCGGCTCCATGCGGAGGCATTGGCGGCTCCATGCGGAGTCATTCGGCGGCTCCATGCGGAGTAATTGGCAGCTCCATGCGGAGTAATTCGGCGGCTCCATGCGGAGTCATTCGCTGGCTCCATGCGGAGTCAATTGCCGGCTCCATGCGGAGTCATTCGCCGGCTCCATGCGGAGTCATTCGCCGGCTCCATGCGGAGTCATTTGCCGGCTCCATGCGGAGTCATTCGCCTGCTCCATGCGGAGTCATTTGCCGGCTCCATGCGGAGTCATTTGCCGGCTCCATGCGGAGTCATTTGCCGGCTCCACGCGGAGTCATTCGCCTGCTCCAAGCGGAGTCATTTGCTGGCTCAGCTGCGAGCCATTATACCAGTTGCTCGAATCGGCACTCCCAGCTTAATGCAAAACTCGGTTGCTCTGTTGTGAGGTGGGGGGATGCTAATGGGCAAAATGATCTGTTTTACGTGCGATTTGGATCTAAATCTAAAATTGGTGTCCAGTTTTGAAAGGGTTTTAGTCAGATTTTGCATGTGAAATGTTGGCTGTTGTTGCCCCTACACCTCCTTTGATTACACTGAGCTGAAAATCTGGTCTAAAATTTGGTGCTTTAAATATCAGGTTTTTGCAGCTCAGCACTTCAAGCCATCTGACTCATAAGCAGACCACTCACCCGCTGATAGACACGACTCAGCAACAGCATTGTCCTTGGCATTGTCCTTGGTTTATGGTCTGGGAATGGAAGGTCTCATGGTACCTGCAAACAAGGAACACATGAATGGAACCATCTTCCATTACATGAACATACCTTCCTTTGCACACATACATGAACACACCTTCCTTTAGTCACATACAGGAATGTGCTTCTGCTGCTTGTGCGTGGATGGTTGAACATGCATTGTCGTGTATGCATGTATGTGTAAGTATACGGTGCTTGTGAACATGCATGAGGTCAATGCCAGTCGATAGTCAGTCGATGCTTGATAGCTATCTATTTGATAAGAAATTTGGTTCAGTTGTTTCACCCCTGAAGAGTACATAAGTCCCCCAGATTGTGCAACTTCAATATGGGTGCTGTCCCGACGTATCCCCGTACATTAGCGTACAGAGTGTGCCTGTTAAAGTTACAATTCAATTAGAGTTAGAGTTACCTTCAGTTCAGTTCAGTTTTTAGTAAACAACAGTGTGTTCACTGAGACCTTTGTATTTTTGCCTCCGAGAGACTGCGGCCCGTTACATAATTATTTCGAAGTTTTCTCCGGGTACCGTAGTTCTGCGCATATAAGCCCATGGGCTTATATTATTATGTGAAATAATGCAGTTTGGGGATAAAATATCCAGTAAAACATGTTCGTTTTTTAGCCCATGGGCCAATATTCGAATTTTGAAGGTTCACGAAAAAGTACAAGTCCGTGCTCATAGTGGGTCTACCATACTCTATTGGTAAACTGCACTGACCTGCTGTACCATGGTAGGAAGAGTCCACATTGTGAAAAATTCTTGTTGACACGCGAGTTGCATTTGTGTCTGTTTATAAGCCCATGGGCTTATAAACGGAGGTGAGCTTATATCCGGATATAGGCCCGTGGGCGTATATGCGCGGAATTACGGTATGGCATGAGAGAGCTGCAATAATATTACCATAACTATGGTGCAAAACAATGAGTGGTAAACCTGTACTTTAGCGCCCCCAGGTCGTCGGATGTCTTGTACTAAAAAATGTAGTACATGTATTCAGGTGATTTCAGCACTAAAATGACTACACTGTACAATGACTATGTATATCAGTGTTGTGCTTAGTGCCATAATTGTATGGGGGGCGCTAAAGTACAGGTTTACCCAATGAGCGACTCAGAAGTCAATATTGACTGGCTGATACCATTATCGCTTACAAGTCCTATGCATTTGATAGCAGCCTCCGATTGCCTGACCAACGTTGTAGCGGGAAAACAACATTCGTCGCGTATGAGAACGAACTTTTCGTTTTGCTCTATTTCCTTTTCGCCTAGTTTTCCACTCTACCGGTATTCCAAAGGCAAAACTGAATCCCAAATCAGTCACCTGGTCACTAATGATTATGTACTCTTGAAACATGAAAGTGTCACTATGCAGTACATGTCTGTATGCATCGGTGGCAGTACAAGAAAATGACATAAATTCAGCACTTGAAAACGAGTTTATGTGCACATCTACGCTCAAGTGAAACGATCAACAACGCTCTAGCCTAGTCTAGGAACACTGAAACACTACTCACCCGTGGAAGCTAGCGGTTATGAACTGCTCCACAGTCACAGGGCCCGGCGCTACTCCACCATCAGCCCCAACAGTTCAGCTGCCCATCACACGAACATTGCTATGAGTTCTTCACACAATCTACTACAGTGCCTAGTTCTGTAGACTCGGCTAACATTTCTATCCTGATTGGAATGCTAATGCAAGTAGACAACATCACGCCTGGAACTGATGCAAATACCTTCATCCTGTAGAAGATACTTTCCACGACTACGGCCATAAAGTCAACCACCCGAACGAGACCAATGCACTCAGACTTCAGGAAATTAATTATTTTCACTGTTCACTACGAATGAATGAATGGCCTGCAGAAGAAGTGAGTGTAGTCATGGCGGTGGCTCGCCCGAAATTATTTCTCACTTCAAAAATCGCGCCAGTCACGATGCATGAGTGCAGAACACTGTCACAGGATGTAACATAGTCATTTTCCAGAAAATATCTTGTGCATGTGGCGAATTTACGTTCTGGGATTACATTGTACACATATCGAGCAGATAGAATGATTGCAATAGTTATAATATTGAATATGGGTGGGTAAATATTGTGTTTAGCGTTAGATAAAGGCATGAAGCTGTGTACTAGTATGTGCTAACAGTGTCAAGGTACATACATACATGTACATGACTTATCCCACTGACCAGGTAAGGTAAGTGACTTCTCTTGTTAGACTACTCATGCACTCAGCACAATGAAAAATGTTCATTCGTTCAAAGTCAAAGGCTATGTTCTATATTTAATATAGAACATTTCGGCAGCTATTCAATTTCGGCTATATCGGCTTTCGTGATGAACTAGTATTCATCCCGTGCCGGAAATAAATCGCTACCGAAATGTCGAAAATCGTGAAATGCCGAAAATTTTCGGGGCGGAAAACTTGTAAATTGACAGTGGTTACACATGCAAGACACTTGAACCAACCACACCCTGTCCTGCCCCTAGGAGTACGAACCGTCACACGAACACAGTCACAACTGGCAGTGGCACACTTGCACAGCAGAGGTCCTGACTGTCTGGCCTCTGCGGACCCAGCACTGGAGTATTATTATCTATTGCGCAGTATCCAAATAATTGGATGAGGACGGGTTTCAGCTGGTTGAGAAGGGAAACAGTGGTTGATAATCCCGTGCGCAGTTTGTTCACTGTACAGGGATGGTCATGATTAGCTCAATTTTAGCAAAAAAAATAACAATGGTATGATCAGAAAGAGGCTAGTGTACAGGCACAAGCGTGTATGCTAGTAAATGTATATAAGATAACGACAGGATATTTTGGACAACAAAAAGCATGGCTCAGCTGTCAGACAGCCAAACAGCTCAATAGCCAGCCTTTCAGAGATTGGTTAGGAGGCTTAGCGCTTCTGAGTGTGCGGACCAGGCCATGCACGGGTACTGCCATGGATGATGACGGTCAACAGATTGTGCATGGGAGTGTGTGCCGGGTGGTTTGTGTGAGTCTGGGATGTGCGTGTGTGTGTGTGTGTATGTGTGTATGTGTGCGTGTGTGATGTATGAGTGTGTATGTGTGGTGTAATGTGTGAGGTGACGGAACAAGCCGCTCGGTGTGTGTGTTTGACTGTTTGAGTTATGAGCAGTGCGTGGGTGCGAGAATCCTGAAAGCAGGCAGAGCGTATGATTGCCTGCATTTCCAGACACATTGCTAGATCTAAAGCCCAATCTTGTTGGTATTTCAAAGCTTGTAGAGTGAGGTTAAGAAGTGAGCGAGGCACCGCCGACGCGTCTTGCGCGAGTGCTTAGTGGAAGCACACGGGGCCTAGCTCATAGCCAAACGATGGCCGTCCGGATGCCGACGATACGGACATGTCAGTGACTGGCAGCTGGTGTGGCTGGTTGCTGCGAAGCTGGAACACGGACTTTGAGCCCGCGGTGTTCACCTGTGTCAAATACAACAAGAAAACGCACAATCCGGAGAGTTCCGTAATTTATATCACGAGATGCAGTGCAACTCTGATGAGATGTACCCGCATGGGCAGCAGGAAAGTGTACTTAGTATCCAAGGTATTTCCTATACTAACATACATTCAGTATGGCTCACTACATCCGTGCTCCAGACAATGTCCGTACTAAGCAAGGCCAAGGGTATGTATTATCAGAGTATGTACTAAGTGAGCTCTACTGTACATCCTTTGGTAGTTGAACTCTGATAAGGCGTACCGGCATGGGCAACAAGACCGTGTTGTACTTAGTATCCAAGGTATTTCCTATACTAACATACATTCAGTATGGCTCACTACATCCGTGCTCCAGACAATGTCCGTACTAAGCAAGGGTATGTATTATCAGAGTATGTACTAAGGGAGTTCTACTGTGCATCCTTTGGTAGATGAATTCTGATAAGAGGTACTGCAACAGAATTGTACTACAAGGAGCTGGCAAATCTCCTTGACGTGTTTGATCTGACGTCGTCAACTTGTCACCACAGATGCTAACAAAGAAAATGACCAGCTTCAGACTCTGATGTGTTGATATACTGTAAATATACAAATTTTCGGCAGCTATTTAATTTTGGCTATATTCGGCACCGACCCAAAACGCCGATGAAATTTTTCACAGCATCTGTCACACTATACCTTGCCCTCTACCCCACGCCGGAAATAAATCGCCGCCGAAATGTCAAAAATCGTGAAGTGCCGAAATTTTGCAGCGCCGAAATTTTGTATATTTACAGTACACAAACTTCAAAGTCTTCCTTTAGGTTTTCTTCTCTATTAAACAACACTTGACTGACTTCAGCCAAACTATTTGCAGATGAGAGCAACTGGGGATCAAAACCAGAGCCTAGTGATAAAATTTGGATAAAAACTTGATATACCGCTCCCCGGTTAGGTTCCTAAAATCTTCTGTTGAGAAGAAAAAGCCATAGTACCTTGCAGCCATCCTGTACTGGAGTGACATGATCCACGTTTGAACAGCAGCTGTTGGCATCCTGGCACAGCTCACATGGTGAGGACATTGTGGAGCTGGCATCGGAGTGACGGAACACAGTGCCTGCACACACAGTTGAACACCACAAACAACCACAACACAATGACATTATTAGAACATTCCAGGAAAGTGACATGAGACTGATGGAGTATGGTACCTGCACACACTTGAACTAAAACAACAAGACAATCACATTACACAATGACTGTATATGACTGTATGACTGTATATGACTTGGTTACATTGGTGGACAGTTAGTCATAACTCGTAACATTTTGTCCTTTCTTTTTGATCCTTTTTGTCCTTTCTTTCTATCCATGATTACTTTGGCTCGCGCTCAACAACCGAGTTTGCAATGACATTATTAGAACATTGCAGGCAAGTCAACATAACAGTGATGGAGGATGGTGCCTGTGCACAGTTGAGCTAAAACAACACCAGCACAATGACATTAAAAGAAAACAGCAGGGTGGGTGGAGTATGATGCCATAACTACTGCCATGTTGTTTCACGAAGGAGAGCATGTTTTTTTGCATACTGCATATCAGAGCTTCTAGTGAGATTTTTGAACACTTGCTATCTGAACCAGATATTCTGTTCTGAGCTCTGTGTTAGGAGTACGAATATGGCATGTGTGCAACCGGAGTTGTGAGAAACATTCGGTCACAACTGAGGTCAAATACATACATATCGCAATGCTTGTGTAAATTGGCCATGGTGGACACGGAATTAACATCAAGAACAGCCAGTCAACTAACTAAATCATTGTGCATTAACAGACCATGCAACGTGAACGGATGGTTCGACACTGCTGTCACAGGTCAGAAAATACATGTGTGGTGATTGTCTCCGATTCTGTCCAGAACCGTACACCGTGAACCGAACATGGCGATGTTCAAGCTTTTGTGAAATTTTTAAATTCACTGCTTATCTTGCTAAAAGCAACAGTACAACATGGCCATAATAGATCCATTGCATTCAAGGCTGATGATCGCGATCAATTGCTTGATGACGCACCGGTTTGACGTAATAGATACAGGGGTGGAAATACCAGTCTTACCTGATGATCCAAGCATCTGTACATGTGCACTGGTGTGGTCCTCAGAGCCATCACAGTGGAATGACACGGTCTGGCTTGCTGCCTCGCTGGTCATCTGCAGGTAGCGGAGCTGTGAGCCGTGGGCTGTGTAGTTGAACTGTACACACACACACACACACACACACACACACACACACACACACACACACACACACACACACACACACACACACATGGAAAATTGAGTAAACTTCTATGTTTAGGAAACTTCACTTCTCAACTCCAAACTGCGCTACAATCATACTGTAGCGGACATTGAAATCCGCTGAAAAGTCGAGCGGCCACCGGGCACTGGCTGTGCAGCCGCGGGCACTGCTGGTCCATTTTTACAGTGTGTACATGAACTGTAGTGCATGTACGAGTATGCGCTAAAAGCAGGAATGGCGCAGGCCCCGGTCATCCCATCAGATGTCAATGTCCACGACAGTACATCATCGGCCATTTCAATTATCATACCTGGCCGTTCTGAGCGTCACTTGTGCATTGTGTGTTGCGCTGCTGGACCTGCGATGAGCGGTGTGCATCACTGGGCTGTACGCACGTCTGGCCACCAGCCTCAAAGTCACAGTGTACGGGAATGGCATCACCACTGTGGCCACCATTGGGATCCATCCAGTATTGGCCTGTACAACAACAACCAAATGGCAAGCAAACAGTGAGCTAAAAGGAAGATCAGAACACATCAAGCCAACACACATGAATTTTGCAAAACTGATGCCGCATGAAGGTTCAGTCAAAGTTGTCCAGAGAACTTTTTATGTGCATCAAATATGAAGTCAAATTCCCCCCTTACCTTCTCCCTCCCTCCCCCCCCCCCCCCCCCCCCCCCACACACACACACACTCGTCTCTTGTTTGTGGGCATTGACTGAAGGTGCGTTGTGTATTGTATGAGTGGAACACACACATGGGCACACAACTGAATAGCAACAAGGTTAGGTACAGTTCTTAGAATTACTGATAGTTTGCGAACCGAAGTTTTATGACTTCTCACCCCTCCCCTTTCGAAACGTGTTAATTGCGGACGACCCCTTACACACATTGCTTCTAAAGACACAGTTAACATCTTGAACTCAGCACAGAGTCGGTGGTGTTTTGCAGAGACTTGCCGATACCTGCTGGCTGTCCTGACACTCTTACTAGCCATCCAATGCTCATTTCAATTGATGGATTTTCACCCTGGAGATTCCTGTCATAGGTATTATTTTGCCTTTGGAAAATAAATAAATGAAAATGAACTGAACTTACCACTCTTCAGCTGGCTGCTGCTGGAATGCATGAGATCTTTGCATGATGTTGCCGGTCGCTCCTGCGAGCCATCCACGCTCAGCTTGTCGAACACAGAGTCGCTTGCCTCGTTGAGACGCATGCGGATCTAAGCATAACAACCATGTTCATGATCAGGGTTAAGCTCGATCAATTTATCTCATGCATACAAGAACAAACAGATGAGGTAAGAAATCGGATAGGAATGTGTACTGTTCAGCTCTTTACAGAAGTTAATTTCTTATGCAAAGCCATCATAATAATACAATTATGTCAATCGCTCTGCATGTTGCACATAGCTCGCTGAAAATGCGTCCGTGAGCAAAACATAATAATGGAATTGGTACGTACAAGAGTATCATCTACTTACAGTTTGGCTCTCTTCGGTTGATCTGCGTCGACGGCCAGTGAAGGTACCGCCAAGGTCTTCTTTAGGAGTGTCGGGGCATGTCTTGACGATGGTGTTGTCACCAGGTGGGCCCTGCAATACACAGAGTGTAGTCATATTAACAACAAACAGAAATTGTTCCACGTTGTGATCCTATCTTTCCCCCTTTTTCCTACACAAAACCATGCCGTTGAAAGCCCTTATTCGAATACTTGGATGAACGCGACTGGCCAGCTCTCCACAGGACAAGTACGGAATATCATCACGTGGTTCAACAAACATTGAACTTAGAAGCTATTACCGCTGCAGGAAAGTGAAGGGGAGGCTACCTATACACTATACCGTGTGTCAGATCTCACTGATTAAGTGCCACCAGATCTCTTTTGCTCAATAGGTACTACTAGAAATTCAACATGCCAACAAAGGTTTCCGTTGACTACTGCATTGCAATTAGTTCAAGTGTGAACAGAAAAGATGAGTGGGTAGTTAATCGTGGATAGTCATCTACACATTTGATGTTCCTAAATTTTAAGGAAACCAACTGCTAGTAGCAATACACTAAGGCCAGTCAAGTGATCTATATATTATGACCGTGAGTTTATTCTTAATTTCAACCGACTGTCACAACTGTAGAATGAAGAACACTCGAAGTTCACTCGTATAATCAGGTGCGTAGTACCGCCTTTGCACGTGGTCCGGCAGGAGGGGATCCCGGGAGCTTCCCCGGGGAAAATTTTGAAATTATTGTTCATGGTCCTGCATTCTGGGCACTTTGGGCCTTGTTTGGGTGAAAAAGGTGTCCGGCCAAAGCCGGACCGGCCGGACAGGCTGCTACGCCCCTGCTACACTGTACTTACAGCATCACCAGGTTGTCCCTGATTTGTGCCAATCAGATCACAATCACCAGCACCACCATCAGAGAGCACAGCAGCAGCAGTAGTAAACGCAAAAGATGGAGAACAGAGAACAAAACCAATGAGTAATGGCATGCAACAGCATCACATTCGGAATCCCATTGTGAGTTATGGAAGGCAACAGCATCACATTCGGAATCCCATTGTGGGTTATGGCATGCAACAGGATCACATTCGGACTCCTATTATGCATGATCCATATAATGTAGAGCTGTCATGCTGCATGGTCCTATTTTGAACATTGGTAGCTATGAGAAATGCAGTTATCTGTCCACCGGTGCAAACTCCAGCCCGTTTTAGTGCTGGCCAAGCCAGGTAGAGTCGATGGATACTTTCCCCACTGAGCACTGTCTAGCAAAAGAACTGAAGAACCACATCTGTTATTGCAGTGAACAGCATGAGTGAGATGCAAGGGTACTGCCAGTTACTGGGTTGTGCAAGGAGTGTAAGGTTGTGTGTTAAATTACGACAAATAGAACACTGTACTATTCGTCGTTCTGATAGAGCTACTCCGCCTATTGACCTCTACAATTTTCAAATGCAACACCAATGACTTACAGGCCATCCTTCAAGACCCTGTGCAGGTGTACACATGCGCAAGAGAACACAAGAACATTAGTCATCATATAAATGAGTGACTCACAACTAATCATTCCAGCATACAGCAAAGAACAGAGCCACATCATTAGAAACAAATCCAGCAGGGTTGCAGAAGGCTGAAATTAAACTATCCCCCAGTTTGGGGCTGTTTGCCCGTGATTCCGCCGTTACGCGCATGGAACATAATATTGGTGGGAGCCAAGATTAACGTTCACTGCGAGTAGCACAGAAACATGGAATAAACTGGAATACTCGCTACTCTCTTAAAAAAATTACAACAGGCCTTGGAACACATCCGTCTCTTGCCGCCAATTACATCATGCATGTGCGATGAAAATCCCGGCAAAAACCCTCGAAAAGGTAAAGCAAAGGAAGCCTAACGGTTAGCGTCACTTACACGTGGACCAAGGTCTCCCTCTCCGCCACGCTTGCCTGGATTGCCGATGTCACCGTCTGGACCGCGGGTACCGACTTCACCCTTGCTTCCAACGCTGCCGATCACGCCCTACCACGACACAGGTCAACGTAGTAGCAAAAACAGAGTACTTAGGTTGCAACACAACAAACTTAGTCGGCAAAAAATGCGAACATGTGGACGTTCACCTGCAAAAAACACACTATGGGCATACAGATCTAATGTGCATATGTGAGTCGGATATGTGCGCAGTGTGGTGAGAAGAGTATTTGCAATTATGCATGCTAGCACTGGATTCATTGATATACTGAAGTAGTTCAACTCAAGCACATGTGCTCTCTGGTCGACCCCATTTCCACCAACAACACGACTCGACGTTGTTGTGAAAGCTACTGCGTACACTCCCATTAGTTCTGGATTCGATTAAAATTTGAACACAGCAAGTCCATCGTGCACAGATCACCAAAATCCCATACTTGACCAGGAACAGTGCGTGCCTAGTTGCACTAACCTGTGGTCCCACTGATCCTGGTGATCCTGCGTATCCCATAGGACCCTCTGGACCCATCTGTCCGGCATCACCAGTAGCACCTGGAGCGCCTCCCACACCAGGCGCGCCCTGCAGCATACAAGCACATGCACACACAAACACACACACACACATACACACACACACAGACAAACACATAACTATTATGTGCTGATTTGGTAGGTAAAAGGCTTCATCATAATTATTACATGGCCCGAGTGGAAAGCAGTTAAAGTTGCCCGAGTGAAAAGCCATTTTCAACCCAGAATTATGATTGATAATGACAAAACACAGTTTGAATGCACGAACTATTGGCAAACGAATTGTCCTCGCATCAAGAGCAAAGCCAAGAGAAAAGGGAAGAGAAAGGAAGAAAATTCACTGGTTTGAGGGAAAGACACAAACGAGAAAAGTCTGAAGAAAAAATTGACTGTCACCACCCAGGATTCGGGAAAGGAAAAGAACTGAGTCCTATCAATTGAGCATGTTTGGCTTACCGGCTCTCCCTTAGCACCGTTAGGACCGGGGTCACCAGTTGTACCGACTTCTCCCTAACAAGAGCAGAAAAAACAATTTACAACATGTCTTGAGAAAATGCTGGCACAAAATATATATTATGTTCAAAATGGCATGCTGGAAGAAGGTAATGCTTCCGTTACGCGACCGGTGAAAGAGGTTTCTGTTTGGTTCGTCCACATCATAGTCTTCAGTACAGTTTGTGTATGATGTGGTGGGTACACAGTAGCAGTAAACAAGCGCTGGTGGTGAAAGTGTTGGTCCGGCAAGGACCTGACCAACCAGACCGGTTCTCGCGGGCCCGTGTTATAATATTATAAGAGACAGTGGAAACGGAAAACACACAGTTATCTATCCAAACAAGTGCAAGCGGGTAGCACCAACGTTGGAGGTGGTCTAGTCGTTGGGGGGGGGGGGGAGGGTGTCCCCTGGGAAATTGTGAAATTCGGGTGCAAAATCCTGCATTCTGAGCACTTCCGGACGGAAAAGTGGTCCTGCCTAAGTCGGACCAGCCGGACCGGCTGCTACGCCCCTGGAGAACAGAAAGGCCTGTCAAGAGAACCTGTCTGATATGACACCAATCTGTCTCACACAACAACTAGTACAGAAAGGTCAAAGGGAGTATTTAAACACGGGGAACTGAGCTAGGCTTTTTCGGGGTGTATTGGTGGGCTGTTTAGATATGCTACACTGCAAATAAGAAACAACTGATGCAAACCCTGTAGTAAATCACGGCATGGAGATATTCTGAAGCCACCTGCAGTCTGAAAGATGGAGCATCCCAACGGGTAGGATAGCTGAGATAGGCGAGTGATGCATGCATCTACTGTTTACTAATTATAGTTTGAGCACTCTGGCAAGGTACGTTTGGGCCTGGTTTAAATCTGGCTTTGGAAAATTTATGTTTCATTGCTATCAGGTTTGGCCTCATTTCCTCTGTGCTGCGCTGATGAGTCCAGAAAGGACGAAACAGTCTGTCCGTAGATTGAGAAAACCAATTATCTGTAATCTTGATATCAGGACCTAAACATGACGGGAAAGCACATTAAAGCACTGCCGACGCTGTATCAAACTTACACCGGAGCCAGCAGCACCAGAACGGCCGCGAGGACCTGCATCACCAGTCTCACCCTGAGGACCGATTGATCCCTTGACACCAGTGTAGCCGTCTTCGCCTTGTGGGCCCTACGTGTACAGGTAGACGAGAGACAAGACACAAATTAGTTATTAATTAATAGGTGGTCTCAAATGCACAAATACATAGCGGAGCGAGCACACGGCCTTATGGCCCATGTCTGCATTTCGGAAGCGGCCCGATCAGGTTGATTATGCCCAAATTTGTAACAGGGAGAATGCTCTGAATGTACCGCATCTTGCACATTGCTTTCGTGTAAGAGGGGTGATGACAGCCATAGGGATGAATACGATTTCCAGAAAAAATATGTGAGAAAAATGAAAGGCCTTGATAATTCGTGTATTTGCACTACCGCTGTGCTTTGGTGTCGATATCCAAATACAGACTCAGATGTATACAGAACCAATCTTCAATAATATTTAGTTTGGGATTATGTGGCTTTGCACGACAAAGGCATGCACATACATGCACAGACTATGCATGCAGCATAACCAAACACAAACGCACGTGCACACACATATACACACACACACACAATCGGCATACAAAACTCACAGCATTGCCAGGTGGGCCGTCAAGGCCAGCAGCACCCTCTGGGCCTGGTTCTCCCTTGGGACCGGCTGCACCAGGATCTCCAGCACGACCGTCTGATCCAGCAGCGCCCTGTCATGCACACAGATATACCAGAAGGCCCGCACGTTAATGTCCATGGCCATAGCTTTCAGGTGGATGATCATGTAGCCGATATATACACTAAACAATAGCTATAAGCAGACTTGTGCATGGAAGCTGTGCATAGGAGCATGACGCAAGGCAAACTACTACATGTGCTTCCCAGTATAATAGATTGCAACACACTCAGTATCAGTACTTCAAAAAGAACTACATGTGCAGTAAAACCAGTCAAGGCGACCACTCGGATAAGGTGACCACTTGTCCAAGAAGAGACTGCCGAAACCAGGATCAAGAGATTCTATTTCCAGTCTATTGACCCTGGATAAGAAGACCACCTGGTAACAGAGACCACATTTTGAAGGTCTCTTGAGCGGTGGTCTTGGCCAGGTTTTACTGTATCCTGAAAGTTGAATTCTAGGATAGACTGCAGTGGCACTGCTACTGAGCCCTGCAACTTACAGCTGAGCCAGCTTGTCCGATTTCACCACTGGGTCCTGCCGGTCCAGGTCGACCCTGCAGTGAACAAACAGAGCATGTACAGGCACACAGGTAGGTCAGCGCAAACAAAAAGTCAGGGAAAAATCGGTCAGTGAGTGCGTTCGATTACGCACTTGGATCGATTCATGAATTGATTCTCCCCGTTCGATTTCATGTCATGAGCCCTGGAATCGATTCAGAATCCATTCACCCTATTCACATGGGGTGATGGAAGTAGCTAGGGGCGAGTCATGAATGGATTCATGAATCGATTCGTGGGCATAATCGAATGCATTCACTGTACGACATGTGCAAACTGTACACACCAAGACACATTCTCACAGCCAAGATGCGAATTTCAAGTTCACCATGGAACAACACAAGCCTAACACATCATGCAAATGACAGAATTTGGTTGGGCACACCATACAGCTCCACTGTGATGGGTACATGTGGTTCAACCATGCTCTTTTGCTTTATTAAAATTGATCTTCGAACATGTGACCTTTTTACGGCAAACAAAATGGTCGATGCCAAAGGGATCACAACCCATTACACAGAACAAACATTCTTGTCATGTCACTCACGTTGACTCCTGGGTCGCCATTAGCACCACGGTCACCGTCAACACCACGTTCTCCGGCTGATCCGGCGACGCCTGGAAGACCGGTCTCGCCTTGCAGACCTTGCTCTCCTTGTTCACCGGCAACACCTTGAGGACCAGCTACGCCAGGACCTCCGCGAAGACCCTGGAACCACAAACAAAAAAAACACCAGACAACGATGGCAAACATTGAACAAGGAAAATGTACGAAACAGCAGACCTGCCGGAACCGGTCCGGTTGATCAGGTCATCACTGGACCAAACTGTTGGTCACAAACATAATTACCGTAAAGTCTCGTATAAAAGTCGCACTCGAATAGAAGCCGCAATTTTGGGCCCATCAAACCACACATAAGCCTGGCTTTGGTGTTGACATACATAGAAATACCTGTCTTGTATTAGAAGCCTGTCTCATATAGAAGCCTGCAAAATTTCACCAAGAAAGTCATAGAAGCCGCGGCTTTTATACAAGACTTTACGGTATGTTCAGTGCTGAAGAGGTCATGTGTACAGGCTACATCAAAGTAGGAATGGGTATGGTACAGTACTGTTGTGTCGACAAAGAACTGAGGGGTTAGCCTCCTAGCCTAGACCGTTCTTATTTTCATGTGTTACAGTCTATGCACAGTTGAGTCACCATGTGTACATCGGTATGCTGGGCTTGGCAGTTCTTCGGTGCTCCGGTCTTCGGCGCCCAAGAGTACTGTATGGTTGGACCAATCAAGACTGCTTCTGGCAGTCCTGAATACTGTCAAGTGTCACGCCAAGTCCTCAGAAAAGGAGTGTGGCAAGCCACCAACTTTCCTATAGGTGACTTGTCTTTGTTGAACACAAAAGAGCACCACACCCTCGTCTACAGTCAACTTCACTTAATAGTAGTTTGTTCTCTGATAAGATGTACAGTTGCATAATTTATCAGTTCACTAAGCTGTGGTGAACGCATTTCTTTCGGAATTTCATGTATCCAGTGTACCATGGCTTGGATCGCTTACTGTCTTGCCTAGTTTTCCTTTTGTTATGCTAAAGCGATGTGTACCAGGCTGCCATAATTATATGTTTAAATGCTTGTCTATGCCTGTGGCATAGTTATATTAATACACATGCGGTGCAAGAATTGGAGCAGCTGTTGCTGCGACCCTGCAGTTCTCTTGTTATTGTTGTGGTGTGTAGGAGATAGTCGAAAAGAATGATCAACACCGCGGAGACTGAGCATGTGTTGAGAGTGCCTAATACCTCAATACCGCGGAGACTGACTGCACAGAACAACAAGGGCAATCAAGGATAGTTGGTTGCTACCCTGCCTTGTGTGCTTCTGTGTCGTAGAATGTGCGCATGTGACACTGCCTTACCTGCGGTCCGTTGTTTCCTGGGATTCCAGCAATGCCCTTGTCACCATCGTCGCCCTGCAGCAAAGAAAACGAAGAAGTGATGGAGCATTACGACATAATCGTCTGGACTTGAACTCGACCGTGGAGCATTATCTATAGTGGATGGGACAATGGACAATTTGAAGATGGTGATCAATAGATCACACAGTGACATGGTGTAGTGATCATGACTGAAGCAGACTAGTGCGAATATTTCACAGCGTACGACTGCCCGCATGCACTCAAAACACCTCATAAGGGGCCATGCAACTAACTCAAAAGTCAACAAAGGCTGTCAACATGTTAAAGGGCATACATTGTCAATCACATGCAAATGCCACCAGGATTTACCAGCTATGCATACCACATCCAGGAAACCTTATGTTTCACTGTGCTGGCACAGTGGCGACTTTGCATATGCAAATCTGGACTTACACGTCGTCCAACGGGTCCCTGTTCTCCTTGGTTTCCACGTGGTCCGGTGTCTCCCTTCTCACCGTCATTGCCAGCATCTCCTCGGGCTCCTGCGTCTCCTTGCTCACCCTGTAAATACCAGCCATTACAGACAGCATTCGCATGTTAAATATTTACTAGCTGAGGGAATGGAAAAGGTGAAGGTTCGAAGAAAAAATTGACTGTCACCACCAGGACTCGAACCAGGGACCTTTGCTTGGGGCCAGCGATGCTCCAAACACTGAGCTCTGAGCTATGGTGTAGCTGTCATTCAAGAAGAAACCATTGAACATTAGCATGCTACCATTGTTGTATTACTCATCTCAATCTCATAGCATATGCATGCAATGCTAATAATATGGGGAGCAACTCCAGAGAAGAGGATGACACCCACGTGACATAACAGTTAAACGTTTCCTATGGCCTTACCTTCTGTCCTTGATCACCACGGCTACCATCTGGACCACGTCGACCGGTGTCACCCTGCAGCAAGAGCAGATTAGCAATACCAAACCTCATTAGTGGTGATAATAATAGTAGACACAATATGTCTACAGTCTACATCAAGACATACCGACAAGGGCAGCACAATATCAGCAGAGATATGTTATCGGGCAGACATATTGCTAGCATCATTATTTCGGTTTGAAGAAGATGTAGGACTTCAGTAAAGCGTGAATTCAAGTCGGCAAGAAAAGTGCGAGCTCCCATGTACGGAGCAACACACAATTCTATGCACACGGCACAGCGTTTGGTGAGAACTCAAGATGCAGAGAGCAGTCTATTCCCAAGTTTTCTTACTTGGCCTCCAAGCGGTCCCTTGCGTCCAGCAGCACCATCTCGGCCTGGTGGTCCCTGGAGTAATCAAGATGAAACACACACAATCAGTCACGTAGGTATTGACAACGTAGCTCTCAACCGTCAACCCTCAATCTCCAACCAAAATATCCTTACAGACCGTCACTGAAATGCGACCACTCTCCCCCCCCCCCCCCCCCCGACCTGCACTCGGCTCAATCCCCCCCCCCCCCCCCCCATTTGCACATACAAACATGAAAATTGCGATCTCATGCCACAAATTCTGCATGCCTTGGACAGAGTGCACGAGTTTAATCCACCCCTGCCCAATCGAGGCCTTTCCCTTCTTAGTTTGAGCCGTTTCAGCATGCACATCAGCTGAGCCTGAAAGAAATTCAGGAAGTGCCTCCGAAATACCCAGACAAAATTATTATGATACTAAGTTGCAAATGAGTTGGATCAGCTAGGAAAGGGGTCGGAATGCCACGGTTTCATGACACTGCAAACCTGCCCTGCATTGGCTCTCCCCTCAGACATCAATGCAGTAGGACAACTTGTGAAATTAATCCCAGTAATGACTACCACCTGTGCAATTATTCCGTGGCAGTGTTTAATAGAAAATGTCCTGGGAAGAGAGGTGATGGCTCTTGGAATCACACCTTTTTTCAGTATCATTATTCTAAAGAGATGGACTGCTGTTGCTGATATCAGGAACACAGCATGCAAAGAGAACACCTTACTCTCTGTCCCTTGACTCCGCCGGATCCTGCACTGCCAGATGGTCCTACTGGGCCCTGCATAGAGCAGCACACATCGCACATTGCGCACGCACACACACACACACACACACACACACACACGCACACACACACACACACACACACGTACACATGTACACACGTTCGGAGATTCACATGGACGCATGCGCACACACACACACATGCATGCAGAGATTGCCATGTGCATCAAGACATAACATTGATAGATTGTATAGAAATACCGTATTTCCCCGTAAGTAAGTTCCCCCCAATGACTTAGTACCCCCTATAAAAAATACACTTTCCAATGCCGAGGTTATCACCCCGAAAGACAGTTCCCCCGAAAGATAGTAAGTTCGTACCCGTCCTACAGGTACAGACACCGTACAATACATACATCATATGCACAGACACTAGAGTTGCGCAGGCTTCCCACTGCGTGTCATTTACCCCCGATAAAAAGTACTCCCCGAAAGATAGTACCACCCCCGAAAGTTAGTACTCATGTGGCTGCTAAGTTCGAAAGTTAGTACGTGCTAACTTACGGGGAAATACGGTAATGGAATAAGTTTTTTGCGTCACTCTGAGCTTAACGACAAATGGCAACAAATCATCCAATCAAGGGCTTGTTTTCCCGGAACATTGCCATATTCAACACCTAGAGGTTGAATAGTTAGGCTGGAGATTACACCATAGTTGCTCAGCCTATGTGATACGGTCCAATGCTAAAGTCGTCCCCCTTTTAGAACTCTCCTTCAACATTTCCATTTTCACATACATGTTCACCCTATAGATTTCCGTAATAGGCATGCATCTATTCGCTTTGGAAAATCAATCAAATCAGCGGGATTCTCATACCCTTGTTTCGTGCACGCTTTCATGAGAAACACACCTTGATATTCTAGTAAAATCACATGAAAAAAATTGTGATCTGACGCTCCTCATTCGCTCCCTTGTCACGGAAAAGTTCTCTCTGATTAGCTTTGAGAATTCAAAAGAAAATGAAAACAAAGTGTCGTCTTACGCGGCTTCCTTTCTCTCCGTCAACGCCATCAGAACCACTGGCACCTTTGTCACCGGTCGCTCCCATGTTGCCGTCGGGGCCTTGCGGGCCAGTGGGTCCAGCTCTGCCTTGTCTGCCCTTGGGACCAGCTGGGCCCATCAAGCCGGGTGCACCGTTATCTCCCTGTGACACAGCAGCCAACAACCAAGCAAACAGCCCCGGGTTAGATGCACGGAGAAAACAGAAACACTGACTCGTGTCATCGGTGCTCTTTCCAATTGTCTTTCAATGTAAACAGAGTGTAAATAAGTGGACACCTTCAATTCATATAAGAACCCACGTTCCACTGCCTAGCTGGCTGTGACAATACCTGGGTGGGACAGAAGGGATCTATAGTTGATCTTCCTGAGGTCCAGATAGAGTTGTACAATTTCATCTGCTAATTTCGAATTATCAACACAACTGTGTAATAGCCTCATCGTCACCACAGCGATACGGCAAGAATCCATGAACTGATTCGGCTCTCGATTTCTCTGATATGAAAAAAGAAGACCGATTACTTGACAAATCAACCTCACCTTCTGACCAACAACGCCGTCACGTCCAATACTTCCATCTTTGCCAGGTCGGCCCTGAAGGGACATAAGCATAACATATCAACAATCAACAAGCACACCAAGGACATACAATCACAAGCAATCACAACGTATCACTCGTCCATAAAAAGAGAGAAAAAAAGCTTTGAGGAAAGTGGGCCCATGATCAAGTCTGACTGGAATTGTTGAAAATGCTAGAGACATCTTACTTCAGTGTGCACAGAGGAAGCAGTCTGTTGCGCAGTTATGTAGCTACGTACCAGCATATGAAGAGGAAGAAATATCGGAACTAGACATGCAGTCAGAAATTGAACCAGTAGCAGCTAACCAGAGTAGAGAAAGTGGACAAAGACTTTGGAATTCTTCACTGATAGGCTTCGAAAACACGAGCAAACAGCAGCAGTTTGTAGCATCCATTCTGAAATTTACTTAACTGGCATCAACGTGTGACGATTTGCCTATTCAGATGAGCCATGAAGACTATTCAAGGCAAGCAGACAAGACAGGAAAACGTTCACTTACGGCTTGTCCATCACTGCCGTCAATGCCAGCCAGGCCAGATGATCCACGCTCTCCCTTGCTGCCGCTCTCGCCAGTGATGCCACGGGGACCAGGTGCACCGCGGTTGCCCTGGAAACAAAATCATTCGTGTAAGTACACAATACTATTATTATAATTTTTTTGTCTGAAATTCTCTGCTGCTCACCATTCTCTTGATACGAAACAAATCTATTAGGGTACCATCAATGTGTTTTTGTCCGTCAAATTTAATCTAGTGCTGAGTAACCTTGAGGTGGTCAGAAAGCATATTCCCACTGCACTGTGCTCGAAAAGAAATGTTCACGTATTCCAATGGTTATAGAATTGTATCGAGGAATACAACCAACTTAGGAGGTTTTCCATAGGCCAAGTCACCAGCATGCCGGATTAATACCAGTGTACTGAGAGTGGGGACGGTGCATAGCCACTTACACGTGTTCCAACTGGACCAGGCAGACCTTGAGTTCCGGGATGTCCATATGGGCCCTACACAAAAGTACAAGTAGAAAGCGTGCTGTGAAGGATATCTAGCTCAACACCCTGCAGGCTGTATACCATCAGCCCCAAAACACATACAATTGAAAGAACCTTGACATGCACAGAATGCGCAATATATCAATTGTGCAGTAGTGACATATCCGGTCATAATCACGGTCCAGGCTACAAATAGTACATTCCGTTGCTGTTTCGAGGTCCTCGCACCGTCTTCAGCACAATCCTGAAACACCACTATTCCTCAACAGAAAACTAGCTGCCCATATGCCGTGTGCATTATATGGCACAGAGCACAGAGCTCTGCAAAGGATGAGGACAGAGCTTTAAAATACAGCATGAGGACAGGTCTATGCACAGCATAAGGATAGAGCTAAGTACAGCATGAGGACAGAGCTCCGCGAAGGATGCGACCCGAGCCAAGTACAGCATGAGGATAGAGCTAAGCACAGCATGTCTGTACTGGCTACAGGACAGGCAACTTACGCGTTGTCCAGTGGGGCCGTTAGCACCTTGGGCTCCTTTGGGGCCTTGATCAGCCTGCCATACACCACAACAAGACAACACAGAACAGCACAAGATTATGTCAACTTCAAAAAAGCAGAAAAGTTTGATTTTGCACCTGATGACTTCTCACTTTTGTTAGAGTGCTGCCTCTATGATCTCATTTCAAGTGCTGTACAGTACAAATCTCCATTTTCCTTTTCTTCATTCCTGCACTTTCTTGATGAGAAGAGGAAGAAAAATGTGTGATAGATAGAAGACTGCCTTCTTGTTTGGATGTGTGGAGTCCTTAAAGACTGAACTACTGGCAGTAGCAGAGAGCTCTATTATTATCATTATTGTCAGCCTTTTCGCGTTGGCATCGCCAGGCAAGCTTGGCTAGTCTTCGCTCAGGTCAAATGGAATGAAGAATGAGGAAGAAGCGGGGTCAATACGGTGCTAATACGCATGCACCAGCAGAATAGGAAACAAACAGAAAATTATATCAAAACAGTACTTTTGAACACGAACTATCAACTATATACTATTTACTTTCAACAAATAAAACCCGAAAACTGCCGAGGAGCACTATATTGTAAGTATGAAACATGTACAGATAATTGACAGAGAGCTTTGGTTTTGCATTAAAATGCACTTCCAGTGTGATACATTCACTAAAATCCCTACGCCGTGAGGTGGCGTAACCGTGAGTCTGTCGAAAGCAGTACAGGTATCAGTGACGTGACTTACGGGTTGGCCAGGTCGTCCCACGGGGCCAAGAGGTCCTTGGTCACCCTACAGCACGTGACACATCACATTGCAGTGTAGAGTTAATCATCACAGCAATACACAGCCACACACCAACTGCCAAACTGAAAGAGACACAGTCATAATTAGTGTTCTATTCACATTCGCCAGCATACTCCCTTGCCACAATGGAATGAGATATTCACATGGAAAATTTAAAAGAAAAAACCCTGTGCACCAAACCGTCAACTTAAACCAAGATAAGATGGAGTTTACCTTTTAACCAATTTCACTGCATCTTAATAATGCAGCAGGGTCGAAGACAACACTGGGGCACAACACAACTGATACTAACACGATAAGCGACCATGTAACTTACAAACATAGCATATACACACACGCACACATACACGCACACGCACACACACACTTGTACTTGCTCACTGCCAAAACTGGTCACGTGGGTCTCCCCGGGAGAGGGGAAAGAGACTCAAAAGGGATCTTGGAAAGATGACTCAATTGGCCATTGAACCACCCAACGGCCGACACCCCCTGAAATCCCCAAACTAGGGTAGATTACTGAGGTGTGGTGAGCCCATAAGTGGGATCATTTCAAACACACACACACACACACACACACACACACACAGAATTTCAACCTCAACATTCTCCTTACTGGTGGTCCATCGCGTCCGTCTTTGCCCGCGACTCCATTCAAGCCGGGAGCTCCGTCGCGTCCAGCATCACCCTGGGCACCCTTGCGGCCTTTAGCACCCTGTCAATGACAACACAATGTACCAAGGTGTAATTTACAGAGCAAGACCACTCTACACTGTGCACATAGTACCTGAGAAATTATATTGTTGATAATGCCATCAGTATGATTTTTTGATTAAAAAATCACGGTTCACTTGAGACTCAGTTAGACTCAGGTGGTGGCGTTCCAGTACCTTAAAGTACTGGAACGCCACCACCCAGCAAAGATCTAAGGCGCAGATGCAGCTCCGCAGTATGATAACACACGGATAATTCAAATATACGACCTAGTGGCTGACCGATATAAAAGAGAAAGTTGTTAACTTTCCTCTCAGTGTGCAGAATGCAAATCCTGTCCATATAAGGCATTTCATCGATCTTTCCTCACCTATGGCAAGTGTTGTCTCTTTCTTTTATTCTTTTTACAATCTACATGTATATACTCCCAGACCCACAGACACACAAACACACGCACACGCATACACACGCACACACAGACACAGACACACACACACACGCGCACACACACACACACACACACACACACACACACACACACACAGCACAGCACAGCACAGCACATACCGGTAGTCCAGAGGATCCAGATACTCCACGTGGTCCAGTTCCACCAGGCGGACCCTATACACAGGGGCAGAGTACCAACAGAACTAGCAAGGTCAAATCAAAGAAATTTGGAAATAGCAAGAGTTGGAGGGGCAACTAACAGACCTCCAAACATCCTGTCAAATGAAATCTTTCTGCATGCAAAGCATTCAATATAATCTGATGCAAAGTGACAAACGCATTATGCATGATAATAATTCCATGGATTTTTTCCGGCCATACAATTATCCAACAAACTGTCTTGTACTGATGAAAGATGAGTACATGCATATCCCTGACCAGTAGCATGACCACAATAGAAGCATGACAACGACAGACAGTAGCAAGGCAACAGCAGCACCATGGCAATAGCAGCACCATGGCAACAACAGCAGCATAGCAACAACAGCAGCATAGCAACAACAGCAGCATAGCAACAACACAGACATGGCAACAGCAGTAGCCTGGCAACAACAGCAGCATAGCAACAACAGCAGCATGGCAACAGGCAGCATGGCAACAGCATCAGCAACAGAAGCACCATGGCAATAGTAAGAGTGTAAACAGAGATGGATGTAAGATGGTTGTGAGATCGCAGCTAGAAGAGGTTCTTACCGGGAGGCCGGAGGTGCCGGATGAGCCAGATGTACCTGGGTCTCCTGGCACACCCTGCAGAGTACATAACACACATCATTATCTACATAAGCCACATACTCCTGAGGGTCAGGAAGCTAGGACTCTGGAGTTGTGCAACTGTGATTTTATACATCAGCCACATACCCCTGAGGGGCAGGGAGCTAGGAGTGGCGGTAGGGCGCTGGTACTCAGCCTACTATAAAGTGTCTCGGCATCACTACTGAGAAGATGCAGCAAAATAGAACTCTAGCATGGTGAGAAAGGTGCAGATAGTATGCAATGGGGCACTAACACCACCATCAAAATGCAGCTGTTGGCAACATGTCACTAGAGTGGTTTCAGTTCTCTGTCAGGTAACTAAAACCCCGTTGAAGTCTCGCAACCTCGCTTCACAGTCCAGCTGTGCTGAAGCACCTCATACGGGAAATCACAAAACAAGACCCATTGGAGTCTACAGCATCTAACCAGCCCTTCACAGACTAATGCCGAATACTTACGGGGGTACCAGCTGCACCAGGCTGTCCATCAGGACCAGGGCTGCCAACGGAACCCTACACAGCATAAGGAAAATGGCAAAACACAATGAAAGAAGATCATTAGAATTTTAATAGTATGGAAGCACACACAAGAATTCACAGTTCGTGTCAAACTCAGTGTAACCGAGTTGCAAACAACCGTCTTCGCCTTCATGCCTTTAAGCAAAAGCATGAAGGCGCAGACGCACACTAAGAGAACAAAAAATCAGCTAATAATCCAATCGATGACATACACAACAGCCTGGCATTGGCATTGGCACACTATAACTATAACACCAACATGTGATAGGGGACCTCACTTCAAACTCTCCAACTACGGTCTCTTCGCTGCATACGTTCACTTCACTTCCAAAAAAAAATAGATATAAATTGAATGCACCAAATTTTCGGGCATGGCCCATCCTCAGGGAGAAAAACCAACATGTGGACACTAAAATGATGTGCTTCTATGTTCATGCCGCCGGAAACAAAACCTCTCAACGAAACCACTCCCTCTCTCTCTCTCACACACACACACAAACACACACATACACTTCTCTTACAGCTTCGCCATCAGTACCAGCGTCTCCACTAACTCCACGTGGGCCAGGAGATCCCTAGAAACAGAACAGAGAAGCAACGCGCAACAATCAAACCAGAACAGGATTGTGGCAAAGGAATTTCTAGCCTTACTCTGAGGGGAACATAGAGGTGTGGCACTTGACATAAGCTGAACTGGTTTTTTTCCTTTGCTATCGTGAAATATTCCAGCCTTCAAGCACAGTGCTAAGCCACTCAATGCTCACCCGGCATCCATGCAAAATGAGAAACGTATTTGAAGCAATGCCACGGACCTGTGGTGGACGAACTCCACCGAATAGCTTGCTTAACGAGGCAAAAGGGATACCATATTTCCCCCACATTATACGTAGCACCTTTGTACAATAAACTCCAAAGTCGGAGAATATATTTCTCGCCGGCAGTGGGCAACTGGCTGCGGCGCACTACCCGTAAATTTCTGTGCTGTTCTGTGTGTCTCGGTATGCTAGTATATGTGGAACGATAAGGGGCGCAACTTACGATGAGTGACACTTATTACTCAAAGGAACGCACTGACACTATGGCACAGGCCTGAATGCGGGGTGTGTGGGTGTGTGAGTGATAATCAGATGTGGCATACAACCAAGAAATTAAGGTACAGTAGAACCTGTGTTTTCAAGACCCTTTAACAAGTGGAATCCTGTATTGACCGGAAAAACCTGTCATTTAGGGACAGTTTCCACTGCACCAAGTGCGTCTAGTTAGGGCAGGTTTTACTAGAAAATGCAAAACATAGGTGCATAGGTACTGCTGGAAATCTTGTATTGTCAGCAGGACTTCTAATCTCTTACCTTGGGTCCACGAGGTCCTTCAAGTCCCTCGCTTCCTTGTGGTCCCTGTTCAATGACAAGATGAGCAACAAAGACACCAGCTAGGTATTAGAGACCTGTTGACAACTCCTGTAATTTCGCTCAGGACTGGACAACTCTATACAGTCGGAGTAGCCATGCAGCACCACAAACCGTTTATTCCGGACAGCTGGTTGCAGATGTTTCCGCATTAGATGGGCCATCAGGCTAAATAATGTCACACTGATCTGTAAGATGATTCCATGAACCAACATAGCAGCGATCTAGGGCTTGTACTGTCCATTTCAAGTGCACCAAGATCTTTGGTAGTCAAACCACACACCCCATGAATGGACTGCATATTAAAGTACGTGCATTGCATGGACTGTATAGGAGGAAATTTTCGGACGGGATTTATTTTCGTATGATTTCGTACATGGCCTCTTTTGTACTAAAATTAATTCCGTACTAAAATTTGTTCATGTGAAATTACCGGTATGTTCACTATACATGATTATGGGTACTGCTTGCGAACACGTGCATGAAGCATGCAGCACTGTACGAAAATAAAATCCGTACGAAAGGTCGAAATTCGCCTTTGTCCGAAAATATTTCCGTCCGAAAAATTTCCTGCTATACAGTATAATGAATTGGTCAAAGTTGAACATCCTTTCAAAAATATACACACTCTGCATAGGAAATGTGAGCTAAGGCAGTGCAAGTTCTCCGTTCCGTTCATCGTATCGCCTGCTAGTGTGTCATCACCTTTTAAAGTGATAATATCATCATTCGAGGTGGTTTATACTGTATGGCATCATAAGCACTGGCGGACCACTCCATAAAGCATACACGGTTATGTCATCGGCTAAACCTGGAGGTGATGTTCAATGACAACATCTGCTAGCAGAGTGGTTCGCATTGAGCCCTGCTGCGATGCTATGAATTTGAAAATAGAGCAGATAAACATACCTCCTCTCCTCGTGGGCCAACTGGTCCCTGACGACCGCGATATCCTTTAGGTCCCTGCCAAGAACAGGGAGAAAGCAAGCGCACCACTATTTTAAACGTGTAATCGATGTTTCGACACACATTACCACATGAGATTGTCATGGCATTTTGTAATGCACAGTAACTATGTGTTCCACCATTCTTCTTCACAGAGGCTACCTGAAGGTGGGGGGATGAAGCGTACTTGGCATTCTCACGAATGGAAACCTTTTCCTGGGTTTGCAAATGAATTTTGCAGCTGCAGCTAAATTCGGAAAGCCAACTGGGTTCTGCGAAAAACTCCCGATATGTACCTTATGACGAGTTCGGCAGAGCACTTTGCTTCGCCCACTATTGTGAACCTGGAAACCTTCGCCATCTGGAAACTTTCAGGTTTTGTGCAGTTGGTGTAAAATCAAGAAAAGTATACTGGCACAAAGGGTAGAACTCTCCTCCTCCACCATGCGATCTAAAGCCGACCATTGCTACCCTCGGTAGCCATTAGTTTCATTGATAAGGGTAAAACTGTTACAAAAAAAGTGAAATTTATGTAATTCACTCCAATCACAAACATTTCCAGGTGCAAATTGGCCTGTGCTCTCAAATCGTTAACTGAAACGAGTGCAACAGTTTCCTAGTTTGCAGTAGTCACTCACTTAGCAGGATAAGTCAACAACCCAGATTACCTCATGCTATTCCGGCCTATTCCCAGAGAACACGTTGAAAAAGGGTTTCACTGAACTCTTCTCAACGAAGCATGGCCAATTTCCGGCACAATTGCAGGGTGGGAACTAACTACACAAGTATGGCCCAAGTGCATGTATGTGTGCTTACCTGGTCTCCGTTCTTGCCAACATTTCCTGAGACGCCTGTCTTGCCCTGCAGTCAAGAAACGATAATTCGCACATGAAATGAGGATTAATACTGTGAAACGGAATGACGTTCTGTACATTCTAACATAGGTATTGCTGTTGGAGAGTTCTGTGTATTTCAACATAGGGCGTAGTGCAACAAACTCGGAGTAGAGAGGAATTCCACTGGAACTTGTGTGTGTGTATGGGGGGGGGGGGGGGGGGGGGAGCTCTGGAGTTCTGATTTTGTCAGTACTCTCATTGAGCATTCTGACATGCTGTCAAGAATCATCCTGTGTTTTTGACATAATATTCATTGTAGGATTGTTAGTGGTATTTGTAACATGGAAAAATGTGGGCACACGTTATGCGATCGAGTCCACCAACTAAACTAGATTTTGAACTTGCTGAACTCGTGCCCACATGTTTCCATGTTACACATTTTTTCCTTTGCTCACCATCTGGATCGTTATTGGAAAGTTGTATAAATTCAAACACAGAATTTTCTATTGGAGATGTTCTGCATTTTGGGATAAATAGGGCGTGCTGTTGGAATCCCTGTGTTACTCCCGGCCAAACAGTCCCTTCTTGTCTACTTACACGAGCGCCCTTGAATCCACCGACACCACGCTCTCCTGGTTCACCAGCACTTCCCTAAAGCCATAACACACATGAAACAAGTAGCAAAAAGCATAAGTCTGAGCTGAGCTTGAGTTGCTCAAACCCACAATAGTTCTGAAAATCTGTGAAACTGTTGCTTTCCCATGGGCATTTTGTACAACTTCCAGGATTTCCATAACAAGGCAAAATTTCCCAGTGATGTTGATTGTGATCCAACTGATCAACAAAGAAATAATCCATGTCCACAAGAGTACGCCAACTCCACAAAATGATAATTAATAGAACATCAGGCTCTGCCGAGGTTCGAACTCGGAACGCTGGATTCAGAGTCCAGGGCGCTAACCATTTACACCATAGAGCACCACTGGCGTGGATCTAGTTGTACTTCGACAGGTTTTTACATGACTGTACCTTGTCCCCGTCACCTCCGTTGTGGCCAGGGTCTCCGGAATGTCCAACAGCTCCCTGCAGTCATCACACAAAGAAAACATTTCATACACAGTGTAACTCCGCAAATCCAGACATATCGGCACAAGCCACTCCCCATTCCTAGAAATTGCCCACATATCAGAATACACATGCTGACTAAATGGGTGTCAACGATGCCAGTCAATATATTTTTCCGGTGCCGCTTTTCGTGGAAAGTTGGCTTTTGCCCGGAAGACGGCAGTTTCCGGATTTTGGGAGCCTGGATTGACGCTTTTCTCACACTTGAAGTACTGTAATTCGATAAGGATAACATGTCCTGTGTCGACAAAGAGGAAATTGTGACAGACTCAGCCAAACATTTTGAATTCTAGTAAAATTACAGTGCTCTCAGCTCACTCACTCCAGTTGCACACCACCATTATGGCAAGGACCATTGAGATGGAGCTCAAGTTACACAAAAAGGGCCATGTACAATGTAGAATTATGTGGACTCCTGCACTCATACACTGTGGAAGGTATGTGAGTGGTGTCTCGTATACCGTATTAGTGCGCACCTTTGTATAACGCGCACCCCCAATCTTCATTGGGGGTGCGCACTTCAATCTTCATTGAAGTACATGCATTTCATATTCGGAGCATAGTGCGCACCTGCGACTTAGGGCCTAAAATAGCACATCAAAAGTGCGCACTATACTCCGGAAAATACGGTATATCTCTGGTTGTTTCAGTAGCCTTGTATTGTTGTACTTACGATGTTTCCAGGTGATCCAGCCACGCCCTCACGGCCACTTGGTCCACGTTCTCCCTAGGTACGTGCACACAAAGTCACAATATGCATTGTTAAAAACATTGGTGGATTCTGGGTTGGTGCCAGGAGTCTACTAACCCACCATGATTCACTCTATTCTCCATACCCACCCTAGTGAACTACAGTAAAACCTGCTGTCAAGACAACCACTCGGGTAAGGCGACCACCTGTCCTAGAAGACCACTGAAACCAGGACCAAGGGATGTTATTTCCAGTCAAATGACCCTGGATAAGGAGGCCACCTGGTAACAGAGACCATATTTTGAAGGTCTCTTGAGAGGTCGTCTCAGACAGGTTTCACTGTACATCAATTTTACTCCACACCGTCAAATACAGTCAAGAGCCGTCAGAAACAGAGCACCACTTATAATAGAAGCTAACATATGCACACACACACACACACACACACACATGTGTACACATGTACACACACATATACCCCCCCCCTACACACACACACACACACACACACACACACAATGTCACTCACCTTTTCACCTTGGACTCCATCGGGACCCTCTACACCACGATCACCTTGTGGGCCCTATTGCACATGCAGAACACCATCACATAAAAGGCAAAACAACTATATTACCAAAGTACACCAATAACTGGCAACACAACACCACTACTGGCACTAGGTCTGCATCACTCTGCATGCAAAGAAATTTGCAGTACTGTACATGCAATGAAAACTTCAGTAATTTACAAGCAATGAAACTTGCAATCCTGTACATGTAATGAAATCTGCAGTACTGTACATGCAGTGAGGTCTGCAGTACTCTTCATTCAGAACAGCTGCAGTATTCTACATATGATGAGGTCTGCACTGCAGTATTGCATATGCGACAATGATGCAACTCTAGCATAGAGACGGAGAACAAGATATGCTGGTCCTAGCTGTGATTAATGTCATCAAATCGAAGCTTAGCACTCCCCCCCCCCCACACACACACACATACAGTGTGTCTCGAGTCACTCCACCAATACCCAACAAATATTACAGTCAATTCCATTCAGGGTTGGCTTACCAGGTCACCACGGTCACCAATTGGGCCAGGGTTGCCATCACGACCAGCATCGCCCTGTACACAGCACACACATACATATGCAGGGTTATAAAGTAAACCAATGCTCATGGAATTCAGTCACATAGTAGGATGTTTGTGGGAGTTTTCACTGAATTCACTTGGTACTGTATCCTGTTCTATTTCGAAAGTTATGTGAATAGATCATCAGTTGAGGTGATTTGTATATGATTACATCAACTTGAGATGCTTTGCATTTGATTTCATCATCATTTGAGGTGCCTTGTATGTAGTGTCAAAGTTGCAGTCAGTGATGCACTAGTGCCAACTCAAGCTGTATAATATAGATCCCATAAGCGAATTCCCCGACTCATGCTGTATACTTTGCACACATCAGCAAATCTGCTGCCGCACCACCGTGACATCGTTAGCACAACCTCCATACCAGCTCAACCGCCATTGTTATTGTGACTGAGATAGGAAATGTATCAGCAGAACAGAGTCTGCTTGCCTGAATAAGAATGTTGTGATGTGTTTTCACTTACACGAGGGCCGTCTGGTCCGGTATTGCCAGTAGAGCCTTGGATTCCCTGTAGTGAATAAGAAACAGAATAACAATGTGAAGACTCGAATGCAGGATCATATTGAAGAGAAATGATGGTTAAACACACACACACACACACACACACACACACACACACCTGGCGAAGTATTTGCCGCCATTTCGCCATGTGTGTTCTAACCACCATTTTTCTTCTATTAGAGACAGAAGAGCACGAAATTGACGTGGAGCAATTGGCACTGGACCCCACAACAGCAACTGAGAATAAATTAGAATCGCCAGCCCATAGGCAGTGCTTCTGGGAACAAATGCGATGTGCTCAGGGAAAACAAGTAAACTTGCAACATCTGCGGGCAACAATCCCTTCCAAGGTGTATAAAAACAGCAGTGTCCAGCAACACTTAGTTGAACAGTTCAAAAACATAGAAAGGCAATGTGCCCTGCACAACCGCTCCACCATATCGCTATAGGGTGGTTTTATATCTATCACACGACCATACAGGACAGCCATATTGGGCCTAACTCCAGTCAATCCCTCCATCAACGGGTCACATGATGTCGGCCATGTTGGTTCCACTGTCTACATGACATGATCACTTTCTAAACACAATTTAGTCACATGACCAAGATTTGAAACCACTCTATTGAGCCGATCAAGTTGCAAATGCTGCCCTCTTGACGTAAACGAGGCAGCAAAACACTTTAAAATTAAGTCAGCCATAGTAAATGTACAATGTAGGTTAATGCTTGATGGTAAGTTACCTTGGGACCAGGTTGACCGGATTCTCCTCGTGTTCCATGACGACCATCGGTACCCTGCAGTCATGTACACAATACACATGCACAAACACACCAATACACATAGATGAGTATTATACTTACATTCGTACACACGCGTACGCACACACATGAACATGAGCGCGAACACGGGAGCACACATAAACACACACATAGTTAAAATAATCCAAGCACACACGTTCGTATGTCCCACTCCTTCTCCGTCAAGCAATATCCGCGCAGGACATTATCGCTATAGTCATTGCCATTGCATGTGGGCATCAGCACCTCACACCCCATTCTACACACGCTCAAGTCACTCCACAGTGGTATACGGTACAACAGAGCACGAGCCATTCCACATATTTCACACATAGAAACACTGGCTGCCACCCACAACTGATGCCATGCAGGAGATCCAGCCAATACCCCACTCAAGCCATAGGATTATTAAAGTTGACATACCCTGCGACCATCAACACCGGGAGATCCAAATTGTCCTGGAATGCCCTGCATGGACAAATTCAGAACAGCACAATGAAGCATCAGAATCTCATAAAAACATGTAACTCATTTATGGCTTGTCACCAAGATTTCAGGTTGCACAGACACTTGCCCTCCGAGCACAGTAAATCCCAACCAACTTCACATGATCCTGAGAATCCCGGCTGCAAGTAAACAGTTCAACATGTTTTCCCAGATCCACATACAATGGCAAGCGCACAAGCATTCAAATTTTACGCCCAGCATTGTCAAAGAGTGTGAAGCACAGACACATCATCTTTAGGAAAACTCTTCACTGTCACAGATCAACGAAAAGACTTCGTCTGCTCAGTAAGTTACTGGAAGTATGCTGGACAAACGGTAGAAGCACAAGGATCACAGTTGGGCCCACAATGTACAACCCTTTGCTCTGGGCAACACGCTCGGTGTTACATGATCCCGAATGGGCACTTGCTCCTTAACGTTTCATGGTACCGTTTCCTACGCAAGGGTTGGGGGTTGAATATCTTTGGCGACAACTGTTATCAGTCTCCTGGAATTCGTATTTCACTTTTAAAAAGATTGATGCAGTTTGCACACTGTACATACAGAGCTGCCTCCAGTTCCGGGAGTTCCAATAGCACCGGGTTGTCCGGGTGGTCCCTGCAGATAGCAGACACAAGAAGAACAAGACATACATAGCTCATAAAGGAGGTTGTTTCCTCAGGACTATTCTCCTAGAGTAGAAGAACAACTACTTTGTAAGTAAAACTGATCACTCAACGGTCAGAATAGGATATATATGAGCCCCAGCCAGCAGAAACCTGAACATGTGTAATTTTTTCAAAAATTATTTTTTCCCTTGAAATTGTTTCTACACTATTAATCATTCAGGTTATCAAGTTCGGTGACAATCTGATAAGCAAAAGCATGGAAAATAGAGTTTGAAGTCACACAGGTCAAGATTCAGTACAGTTAGCGCAGCATCCATGCCTAGTGACTCCATGCAAGTAAGTTGATCCTACAGTTTCTGATTGTGATGTGGAACAGGTACATGTAAGTAAATAGAATGCAAGTCAGGCTTGCCCTCTTGGTGCTGCAGGCATGAGTAGTTCAGAAGTGTGACGATATTCTGTATACATCACTACCTTCTCTACAGCACCAGAGTGCAAAACGATGATTGGTGGCTGGCCTTCCAAATTGTGTTCAGGGACCTCTGTGCTGGCAGTTTGAGCGTTGTCCCAAAGCTTGCCATACTGATAGATGTACTGACCAATACCACTGACATCCACACCCTTGCACACTTTCACTCAGACCATGATTTCAGCATAATTGTATTTCAATGATATGAGCGAATACTCGCGTTTTGTAGCACGTGAAGATGTTGCCCCAAAGCTTTCAGCCGGTTTGAGTTTTTAGGGATCCCCTTTCTCAGCACAGGCAGCAGCCAGCTTGGCGTCGTCTGGCAAGGTAGAGTACTGATAATACTACGCTCTGTTTTGCGCCGTGAGAAGCCCTCCATCAGTGTCTGCAACATCATTGTTGTCGATGTAGAAATACGGATCGCTCATCGGGTCGACATTCAGCTTCTCCTCGCAGTCGCTATTACTCCCGCACTGACTATCGTCGCCACCAGTATCCAGTGTCGATTTTATGAGGGCTCTTCGTTGCTATGCATATGAGACTCGCCACTGCTGGACAAACTCAGCGAGATCGCCACCAAAGAAATAATTCCGATCGCGAACTAACTTTCAGCGCCGCTTCGTACAGGGAGTCTCACAATGACAACTCTGGACCTAAGTCCTTGTCGCGACACCTGTCGCCATCGCTGTGTCTAAACTCAACCTCCGTGTGACGAGCTCTCACCTAGCCCTAAAATCAATTGACCAGAGACATTTGAAGACACTTGAAACTCCTTTGACAACAAAGACACCCACTCGATCGAAAAAGAATCTTCAAAAGCCAGCTCACTGCGCGTCCCAAACTTTGACGTCACATTTTGATGATTGATATCAAGTACACAAGTGCTGGTTTTCGCTGGCCGGGGCTCATATATTATAATGATATATCGCTACATAACCCATCAGTATTGCTAACTTTATGCCTCGGAATGTACTGGATGTATCACACATTATAATATTTCAACCGTCACAACCTCATTCAACAATGGATGGTGGTAACTATTCCAATGTATGTACAATTCGCAGAAGCGGCAACACATCCCATTCACAAAACTGTTCTACTGAAAGCACAGAGAGTGAAGGGGGCAACACAACCCGTTCCAGGGGGAAACCAGAGATTTCTACAGGGGTTTTGTTCCAGTTTAGCTGAAACTAAATAGCTGATACATGTACATGTACATGCATACGGTTTCCAGTAGCATATTTGCAAACTGTAGGGGGTTCCATGGAATCCCCAGCCCCCCCCCCCCCCCCCCCCCCTGGATCCGCCCCTGCATTCATCTGACTATTCCACTGGATGCCATTAAGACTTACAGGAGGACCTTCAGTTCCTGGTACGCCGGGAGAGCCGGTAGCGCCCTTGGGACCGCGTGGGCCAACAGCACCACCAGTACCAGCCGGGCCAGTCTCACCCTGTCAACAACACCAGAGGCAGACGAACAGGACACGAGGACCAGGGTCATAAACACTGCTAACTCTACACAGCACTCACAAGAAACAATATTCTCAGATTTGACAGGTTCAGGCATACATTGGCACAGATGGCAGAACACAACAGAGAAAACAATAATAAAAAACAAGTTTTCTTTTAAAACATTTTGATCCTGGCTGTGACCTGTACACAAAATACACAAGTCATTCAAGACAGAAGCACAGCAGTCTGCGGACACTATGCTATCCCAGTAGCGAAAGTATTGTGCCATATCCATATGCATGTGCATTGTGCTTACCTGTGATCCTACTGTGCCAGGGCTGCCTGGAATACCAGGTTGTCCCTGCAAAGTCAACCAGGTAAGAGAAACAAAGGAGAAGAGAAAACGGATCAGAACACCACTGGTCATGAAACACAGACTTCTTGTGCGAATTGCAACACAGGTCTAAGGCATCAACTACAAGCAGCTGCATCCTGCTCCAAGGCACTGCGCCGTTCTTAAGCCAAGTGCCTCCCAATGTGCTGTAACCATGATGTTGGGTTCATACTGTCGTGGACATGGAAATCCGGTCACACCTCTAGCGGCCCCAGGGCTTTGGCCATGCAGCCATCGGTATAAGCAGGACACGCGAGCATGTAATAATAATTATGCGCTGCTGGTTGCATCGTCCGGATCAACCTGACTGTGCACTGCATGCAATGTTCTGTACGCGAGGGCGCCGGCCCCGGTCAATCGACTGGATTTCCATGTCCACCACAGTATAATACATGATGAGAGCAGAATCACGCACCACATGTGGAAACATAGTGACAGATCTCTAGTCTGCATAGAGCCTAGCATCTCTAGTCTGCATAGAGTCTAGTAAGTGCATCTACGGAACACAGCAGGCCACCTGGCTGTGGTGCAAAGGATACTACTAATAACTGTCCGCCCAATTCTTTGCTCTGGCTTGGTAGCTCATGAACACAAGAATGACAGCTTACAGATTGTCCAGCGGGACCGGGTTGTCCAATTGGGCCTTGAATTCCAGGCATACCCTGCATATACGCCACCAAACAAGACAGAATGACAAGAAAACATCCATGTATGACATGTCTCAACTTCAAAGTGACAGCAATGAGCAGCATTCCGTTGGTTTGTGACCCAAATTACCCAAAACGGAGCTGATACAGTAAGCGAGATATCGGCAAGGACAGGCGGAGTGTCCAGTAACACGCTATACAACCCGATCAAGGTGATAAGGATGGACATCACAGCACAATGGCATCATACAGCTGGAAGAAAATGGAAAGAAAAGTTTTAAAGGTTTTTAAAGGCCTGAGCCATGCTTCAGGTTCGGCAATCAAAATGGCCACCCTTCAGGCATGTACCAGATCAGTACGAATGTAGATACAAAGAGCCTCCTTATAGCATTTCAACATTACAGCATACACAAACCATCCCCAGATGAAATGACACGCGCACAACCCCTCCTCCCAGCACTCACACATCACTGACTCAAGAGAAACTATCCGCCATACCTGAGCTCCGGAAATTCCAGAAATTCCGTCATTTCCACGTGGGCCCTACATACAAACACATTGTAAAATGACACACACTGAATAAAGAGGAACACTGCAAATGACTGTTCAGTACCGAAGTACCATCAAAGCACACCCCGTTTTTGTTTAGTCTGTTTTGCTGTGTTTTGCTGCTCTGCATCAATTTCAAAAGAGCACAATCTTAGATCGCAACCTGAGGTGCTCCAACCTGGCATGCAGGCTTGGAGCTGGCTTTCAAAATCTCACGATGTTTCGCCCAGTCCCTAACCATTGTCGTCTGGTGTGCCAAAATGATTTCACAGTTCGTGTCAGACTCAGCTGAAGGCCAAGTTTTGCGCATCCGTAGGAACGCCACCACCCTCCATGGATCAAGGCAATGTGTGCAAATTCGTATCGAAGAGACAAGGTGCTCAATGATGTGTGCATCTCTACTGCATAACCTTTCGAATCAGTCGCACTTACGCTCTCTCTCTCTCTCTCATTCTCTCTCTCTCTCACTCTCTCACACTCTCTCTGTGATCTTACCTGCTGTCCTTGATCTCCGTCTTTGCCGTCAGCTGCGTTGTCACCTGGAGCTCCCTGTCAGCATATAAAGACCGGCACAGTCAGAGAGACACAGGCATGGACACTGAGCAGTCAGCAGAGAAGTGTACTGTGACGAGTGAGCATATCATGTTGATCATCACAGTCATTAAGGCTCGAGCCACACCAAAGTACCGTATTTCACTAGTTATAAGTTGACAATTTGCTGTACATGCACTGCCCAATGAAACCAGCCCTCCTGAGTAAAGTAGGTCTCATTCTGAGACCTACTGACCCGGTACATAGCATCACGAAATTCTCCGAGAAGCCGCACAGCCAGTGGCTTGTTGACTAGAGACAGGTTTCATTGCCAGCTGAGCATGAGAGTAGAAAAATCGGAGCACTAGAAGCAAAGAGAGCGGATGTAGTGAAGCATTTTATCACACGATACTGTAAAGTGCGAAGAACAGGATGCGCTTGTCTCTGTCGACTGCAAGCTGCAGCAATCTACTAAGAGGGGAAAGGCACTCGCTTGCCCTGTTAGTCAGATGTGTATGCACAAATAGGGACAACGCGGCATGCTTACAGTCGGGCCCTTGGGTCCTCGGCGGCCGTCAAGACCATGATGTCCATCAGATCCCTGCAAGAACATCATAAAAACACGGTAAAAACACATGAAACTCACCAACAGAGACACTTGCAAGAGTTTCGCTTTCTTCAGTGTTCGGGTGCTTCGAGCAGTACCTGCTCTGCTGCAGGTCATGAAATATGCCCATTGTGCATTGCCGAATATGGAATGCATGAGTGACATGTGAGTACGCTGGGATCAGGGATGCACAGTTGAACACCTCACGCAGCCATGCCCAGGTGGCTGTGTAGGGCGTCAGCGGGACAAGCCACATCAGAGTGCATGCACTAAATGTCTGTTCTTCAGTCCCCATTCACCACTGTTTTAAGACATCATGTTCACCGCAGATACCGAACCCGGAAACATCCCGGTTTCTCTTGCAGTTTTGAACACATGCAACTGCATTGTGACAAGGAAAAGGATATGTTTGCACTTGCTCGTAACCATGCATGAGCACATGGAGCCAGAAATCTGACAAAAGTAGATGCAGTGCATTGTGAATTCATGGTTCATTCAACTGCCTTGGCACATGTACGCACCTATTCACAACCGTGAATGCTCACACATAACGTGATAGTCCCACAATAGCCCGTATACGTACATACAAAGACACACAATTACAGGCACACACACACACACACACACACACACACACACACACACACACACACACAAACACACACACGCACGCACACACACACACACACACACACACCTTTGACCTTTGACGCCCATCGCCGGAGGCGATGATAGCAATGCTACGGCAGAAGCCATAGCAACTTGTGCTGGGATTGCACCATTCAACAGCTTGCAAGGCTGAAGAATTGACCGTCACTATTCAGCCTGGCCTACACCATACAGCTATTTTGAAGTGACTTTTTCTGGCCAGTGAATCCCTATTTTTGGTCTTTTCATTTTTTCTTTCTTTTTTTTCCCGCACACACATCACACCACATACTCCGGCATGCACTGGCTGTTGGTAACCACCCAGGAGAATGAAAGAAAAGTCAGGAAGAGTCTGAGAAAGAGAAGAAAGACGTGTGTGACCATAATCATCGGGGATCGAACCCGCAACCTATCGATTGGAAATCGCTGCACATACCACTGCACCATATGGGACACACACACACACACACACACACACACACTAACACACATACACACACACACACACCTTTTGTCCATGGTGTCCGGGGCGACCTGAGGATCCCTTGAAGCCTTTGAGACCCTGCAAGGCGACACACAAATATACAAACACCAACATGGTCAAAGGTTGAAGAAGAAGAATAAACTGCACTTGCAAATCAACTGCATTTAAAGAACAGCTGAGGGACTGTGCATCCTGAATACCAGCGGCTCAGACCCAGCTTGCCACCAGAGCACTAATACTATACAGAGAGCTAGCAATGTGATGATGATCCACCCTCCCCCTCCCCCCCCCCCCCCACACACACACACAAAAATACACACATGCACTCATACACACAAGCGCACACGCACGCACAGAAACATGCACCCAGAAACACACAAACGGAAACACACACGCACCCAGAAACACATAAACACACATACACACACACACACATTAAATTCGCCTACGCCAGTCACTTACGAGTGGACCGGCCATGCCAACGAATCCTTCAACTCCGACGGGACCGGTAGCGCCAATGCGACCAGCGTCTCCTTGACGACCAGGGCGACCCGGCTCTCCCTTTTGACCCTACAAATGAGTCAACAGAAAACGGAGGAAATCATTTATCCAATAAGCATAGGCAGGATGTAGCATTAGCTCATTATTATAGAAAAAATCAAAGGCTAATGCATATGCATACTAGAGAGAGGCATTGCTGCTCAAAGAAATCCAGTCCCTCTAATGTTTACACTAAGTAGAACTTTGAAAGGGCATGCAAAGCCTCTTAACCAGGTCAACCACATAGATAACCAAGGCAACCACATAGATAACCAAGGCAACCACATAGATAACCAAGGCAACCACATAGATAACCAAGGCTGAAAGGTGGCCTACAAAGGACAGTACTCACATTCACGCCACTAGCACCGGGGTTACCACCGATTCCTCCGGGGCCACGTTCGCCCTAGACACCACAGCAACATACGCACACAAAGAATGTGAGAGGAGCAGGATAAATTGGGTGGATGAGCCTAGACAAGCCGAAGTTCGTGAGTTATGTATAAATTGACGACGCTGTTAGTGAAATTTAATCACAGAGATTTTAAGATATCAATAAAAGTTATAAAACTGTAGATGGTACCATTCGGCTCTTGAATAATACATTTTAAGATGTGTATGTTGTTGCATCCTGAACGCTGCAGATAGTCAACATCAGCAGAGCCTAAGCTACATGTACATGCATTGCAGGCCTTGTGTAAATGGTGATATTATCACCATCACTGACTCTACTCAGGGCTAAGCATGGGGGGCCATGCAAGAACACACCGGCTGCAGCGGCATACCACATCTGCACCGGGGCCATCCGCACCACGCAAATGTGCATTAGATAGGACATTATGAAGCCAGAAGCCAGACAATCGGACAGAAGCAAAGAGCAAAAGAGTGAATGAGTGACGGTACGAATGAGTGAGTGAATGTATGAATGAGTGAGTGAGTAAGTGAGAAGGAGAGAAAGTCAGTCAGTGAGAGAGGTAGTGAGTGAGGCAGTGAGTGTGTGTTGGAGTGAGTGAGTGAGTGAGTGAGTGAGGCAGTGAGTGTGTGTTGGAGTGAGTGAGTCAGGACATGAGTTATAGATTCCTAGTTTGAATGACAGATAACACAACAAGGAGTACTCGGACATCACACATACCTTGAGGCTCTCGACGTCTTTGTTTGGATTTCTTAGGATGCTGAGCACTTGTCCACGGGTCAGTGAGTACGTGTTGAGGACGCTATCATCAAGCTTGGACAGAACCTAATAACACCAGACAAGTACAACGCAGCTTGAGTAATAATGGCAGTATTGCCGCAACCCCCCCCCCCCCCTTACACACATAGGTGTTGAGGATGCTATCATCAATCTTAGACAGGACCTAGCAACACCAGACAAGTAGAAAGTAATTATAAGAATTTCAGTATTGCAGCAAGACCCTTTAATATGCAGACACTCAAATCTGAGGATACGTGTAGGCTTGCGTTTTGAGCGTGTGTGTGTGTGTGTGTGTGTGTGTGTGTGTGTGTGTGTGTGTGTGTGTGTGTGTGTGTGTGTGTGTGTGCGCGTGTATGTGTGGGTCTATTTGTGTGTGTGTGTGTGTGTGTGTGTGTGTGTGTGTGTGTGTGTGTGTGTGTGTGTGTGTGTGTGCGTGTGCGCGTCTATTTGTGTGAGTGTGTGTGCACATGTGTGCGTGCGTGCACGTGTACATACCACATACACATCCTAACAAAGACCAACGGCGTTCAACGGGAGATAAACGGCATTCTCACACACAGCACAACTTACGTGAACTCTTCCATCCAAGCCACGTGGACCAACAGGGCCCTCTGGTCCACGAGGACCATCAGGTCCAGACGGGCCCTGCGGTGAATAACCAAGAAACAACAATAGACAAACAAACAACCAATATCACGGTTACCATTGCACTATTGAAGGACATCAAAAGAGCTACCGTAATCTCCAAAGTATAAGCCGCAATCAGACACTCTTAATTCACTCCAAAAAAGAGCCGATGCGGCTTATCCTACGGTGGTCAAAGGAACTGTGAGATGCAGGGTAGAAGTATGTATTTCGTCACCAAAAAATCTTGAGCATATCAATTAACTTAATGTCTGTGGTGCCTCCTTTGCACCATGGCTGGTAGCTCGGTTTGCTTAGTAAAGCTCGTGGCTGTACTGATCAGGCCTTTATGGCCGAAACAGCTTGCTGTCTACAGCATTGGGCATATTAATTATATTCCACGGCAGAAATCACGGTATGAATATTTGCAATGTAGCTGCTACAGTAAGCATCTGTTGCAAAATTGATTCGCAAACAGCTGATGATACCTGCCTGGTTGCTGATTGATCTGTGCTAGAGACTCAGAGGAGCAGCTAGATTCTAGTGTACCCTTCGTTTCAATCCAACCAACTCTTTCTTCATAATTCATTGAGAATCTAGCCGCATGGTTAGGCGAGAGAGCGGAAATGCCTGTGTGTGTCTGGTGAAGTACAATAGACATCCTACTCATGGTTGCATAGCGGGGCGGTACGATACGGTACACCGCACCTAAACAAACGTCATGTTGAGGACTTACGCCTGGGCCAACTTTGCCTGGGTCACCATTGTGTCCTGGGATTCCATTGGCACCCTAGTAAGCAACAAATACACACACATACACACACAAACAAACACACACACACACACACGCACGCACGCACGCACACACGTGCAAAAACACATCAATAGCATCATACCTCTGCTCATCAACCCTCGGACATCTTTTCAAACAACACAGACCTGACGGTATTTGCTGTAGCAATTTCATCAACCCAGCCCGGAATTCAGCAAAACAGACTGATTACTGACAGTGTGACTAGACAAACCTACCCCCCCCCCCCCCCTCTCAGTCTTCTCTGACTGATTCACAAATAAACCACAGTACAGTGTATCACACTGAAAGGGCAGAGCACATGGTGAGTGTGGCGGTGTGCTGCCTTACCTCTTGTCCAGGTGGTCCTGGTGGTCCTCTTACACCGGGCTATCACACGGGAGAGAAAAGTGAAAAACGAACATCAGACAACCAGGTACAATCATGTTAGTGTCCTGAAAATAGTGCAAGCCTGTTTTGAATTTATGGATGGATACATGCATGCATGGAGGGTTGGACAGGAAAGGGAGACAAATGAACCTATATCAGTATGTACAGGATCAATAGAATGCTCGGTACATGCCAGGGAAGGGAACGGGGAGCCATTTACGGAGTTATGCTGCAGCCTGGAGAGTATCGCAGGAAGCGTGAGTTTCAAAGTCTGAAGAAAAGGTTGACCGGTCTCTGCTGGGATGATAGCTACACAATAGCTCAGTGGTTAGAGCATCGCTGGCCTCAAGCAAAGGTCCCTTGCTCGAATCCTGGTGGTGACAGTCAATTTTTTCTTCAGACTTTTCCCCATTTCCGTTCCTTCAACTAATAAACAACATTTGTCAGGTGCGTAGCTCGTGTGTAGTCAGCACAGTCTGGTCATCACACCTAACAATAACCGTCATTGGTACTACATAGTCATAAATACCGTATTCCCCGAATATAAGTTGCACCTTTGTACACTAAATTCCAAGGGTAAAAAAGGGGGTGCGACTTACAATCGAGCATGGCTTACTTCTGAAGTCAATATATCTAATCAATATGGCTACAACCTGAAAATGGGGTTGCGACTTATAATTGAGTGTGACCTGTAATTGAGTGTGACTTATATTCGGGGAAATACGGTGAGCAAAATGACAGCTATGAGGTTGGTGGTGGTACATGGTCATCGCACTACAGATGTTCGAGCTATGCCGCTGAACATATTGTGGAAACTTACAATAGTTAGTTCTTGTCTGGCATCTTCACCGGCCATTCCTTTCGGTCCGCAGCCTGTTCCAGTGCCTGGCCTCTGCGCCTCACCTTGGTCAGGGTTGACGACATCAGGAGGGAGGGTCTCTTCTGGGCTACCCTCAGTCGGTGGCTGAAAACATACGAAAATATTGAGAGAAAATTGGTTGAAGGCAACCACTCCCCTCGGCTGCATCCGCGAAGAGAGCAGAAAACTGTGAAGAAGACGGACAACTTCACAGGTTACAACAAGGGGTGGGCAGGCGTGTAGCTTGCATGGAGCACGGGGGGGGGGGGGCACATGCCCCCCCCCCCCTTACAACTTCGACCCGGCTAGGTAAAGCATGCACATAATTACCATGAATGACATGCATCAACCATCCTACACATCTGTATGTATGCAACCGTGCAGCACCCCCTCCCCCTGAAAGGGGGACCAGTTACGACCCTGGGTGGGGGTTCAAAACAACGTTAGTCGGCTATTGAGCATCATCTGCCGGGTGCGTAAGTTGTCGTCACATGTATCGAGATGTTGTACTTTCTATTTCGGCTCGCCAAATGTCTCCCTGGAATAAACATCTTTGGTTCGTCAGCTCTCGTTGCTTCCGTCTAGACAGGTGCAAATTGTGTCAATGCATCAACCATTCAAATTAGGAAACGCTCCCAAATCTGTTCCAACAGTATATCATACGTCGTGAAATAGCTAGCTGTCAACAGATTGAGTATTCGTATACGATTCTGTTTGCGCTGCTGGTAATGCATAGCCCCTTTGGCAACGGATACAACAAAGATGCCCGGGAAACGTATATCAAAAGGGCTTAATCAAGCGATCGCACCATCAGTCGAGATGCTTTGTTCGGACTCTCAGTGGCCAAGCAGCAAGCCCAGAATGCACTGGCTTCTCACTACAAACTGTCACAGTGTGCCAGTGTGACGCTCAATACCAGCACATCAGCAGTAAACTTAAAGCGTGCTTTCATGCTCCCTTTTTTCTCATGTGACAGCTCAAATAGTTCTCATTGCCTTTAACCCATTCAGCGCTAAAAGACGTATATATACGTCATTGACCATGACGCTCAGGCGCTGAGGCCGTATATACGTCTGTTTCAATGCGGAATAGGACTGAATGCTGAGCCTTGGTTCCATGACCTGTAGCCTTATTTGGGATTATGTTTGTTTGTTTGTTTATTTACGGAATCTCCAGAGGTAAATGGATGCCTATCATGGCAGTCTCACCAAACCGATATTTGGGATAATGAGTGGCACGGTTACTTTCAAGCTCCATGTATGGCATTTAGTAGACTTACTGCAGTCGGTAGGTTATCTGGTGTGCAAGCACTCTCAAATGCTGGTGAGGTGGGTGTCCGGGCTAGGTTCACTGCGTTGGTCAGCACCAAGTGTTGAATGGTACCCTGTCATGGTCACCCGAAGAGGCAAGCAGATACGCATGCGTGTGCACACACGTGTATACAGCCAGACATACACACGCACACACATGCATACAAACACGCACACACACACACACGCACACGCGCACACACGCACGCACGCGCACACGCACGCACACACACACACATGCGCACACGCACATAAACACACATACAGCATGAGAAATGAGAGAAAATTAGAATTCACTGTTTGAACCTCATGTGCACAGTGAACCTGAGCCTCACTTGGGGGCCTCATGGAGGCAACAAAGTAGTACAGTTGAACATCGATTATCCGCACATCGACTATCCGACCATTCGATTATCCGTAACAGTTTATTTGGGCGCACGTGCCGTAGAGTACGCACTGTGCATGTAGTGAGCCATTCAAAAAATACGAAATTTTTGAAAGGTAAAAAGTAAAAAGGTCGTGCGGCTAGTAATAACCACTGAAAGTGTGTGAGTGACAGTTTTTTCTTATCCGGAACATTTGCCTTATCTGAACACCGCCTGACAGTTGTCTGCCCAGAGGTGGTCGGATAATCGATGTTCAACTGTATGTTAACGGGCAGGTGTCCCTGCAGGGATTGAGTCACATATCCCACAGCATCATTATAATGAATTATCTGAAAGTTTCCTTTTTTGTTTCTTTCATTTGAATTTTTTCAGCACAGGCAATTATTGCCTCACCAGAGGAAAAAACTCCGAGTCCCACCAAGACGTTTCCTTGGAGACGAAAAAGACATAAAACTGAATAGTAGCACAAACTTCGGGCTCTTCAACAACATGATTCTCCTAGAACCAAGAGCGAATAAATATGAAGAAGAAAAAAGAAGGTTTACCTACCCGGAATGGTGCAGTTCTCAGTTCGTTGTTGCCCACGGTGATCACTGAGTCGCCATTCACACACGCCCTGGAGAATGATCGCACGTCGATCAGCATTGAATCCAGGTGATACTCTAGCTGCAGGTTCTGGAAGACGAACACAACGTGATGGAAGCGGCCATCGCTGATGATCTGAGCGTCTCCCTCGAAGAATGTTTGTCTATCGCCGTTGAAGTCCACGCCGATGAAGAAGTCACCGCCCGTGTTTCCAACGAAAGTCCTCAGATCTGGTCAAGCAAAGACAATAACAGGTGACAGCGTTTAAAACAAGTGAGTATTCACATAAAAAACACGCATAAACACACAAACACAACACCCACCCACACATACACACAGCTACATGCACACATACACATACGCATACGTACGCACACGCACATAGTATAACACATGCCTACTAGCTTTACCAGCGTGACATGCTAACAACCCCCCCCCCCCCCCCCCAAGCAGCACACATTCAAAAAACAAGGTTAAAAGGTTAACAGGCCGGCACGGTGCTTACATCCTCCGTCCGGTGCAGTGGTCTCAAACAGGGTCTGCTCCGTGTCTCTTGCCACTTGCGCGTAAAACTGTCTGAAGCGCACTGCCAACGCAAATGTGCCGCAGAACGTTTTACCCTGAACACAAAATACAAAACGATAGGAAAAGGAACAGAGATGGTGAAGTGTGCATCGAAGTACACTGCATGGCAAATGTTGCAGCACTTCACCTTGGGAACAGACACACAAGAGGCGGCCGGAAATTCGGGAGATTGCACAGAGGGAACAGTACTGGGATGAGTAGGCTGTAATGCTAGAAAGAATGGAGAGCAGACTGCTTGTTTGATAGACAGCAATCTAGAAAGACACCCAAAGCAGCAACGAAAGAGAGAACAGAGGAGCTACACCATACAATTCTCTGAACACGTTTAAAAAAATATAGTTCCCTAGTTGCCGTTGCATCGACTTACGGGGCACTCCAAGGGAAGGAGACCTGCGGTTCCTACACTCTCCTGACCAAACTCAAACGCGAACTTCCGCGGTGATGACTCATCGTAGGTCGATAGCACATTAGGAGGCGGCGCCTGAATGAAATTTAGGGCTCCGATGACGTCGCAAGAATCTGTAGAGAAACAGCACAGAGCAGGCTGATAGAAATTACGGTGCTGCTAAAATGTTCGCCCCAGGTCGGAAAAATTCATTCGAAACTGGACAGGTTTTCACCCATTCCAAGAGACGCCCAATAACACGAATCAATCTCCTTATGATGCAGTAAGGCGATGTGAATGCATTTAACACAGGCGCCTAGGCCGTCAAGGGCATAGGGGGCATGTCCCCCCCCCCCCCCCCATATCTTTCATCTTTTGTTCAGTATGTGTATGTTAGGGCCAAATGGCCCCCCATGGGATTGCAGCTCAGTGCAAAACCACAACCACTTCACACTGCTGTTGGCTGCAAATAATTATGCTCCGACATATGTCCCATGGTTGTCAAGGCGACTAGAGTTGTCAAGGTAGCTGGATAAATGATGCTAGATTGCACCGCCCTTTCAGTTGCATCTTCCTTTCTGCTCTGTTTTACTTTCTCTTTTCGTTCGTCCCTCTTGATATTTGTACTTTGTACTGTTGAGGCAATGAACTGAAATAATAAAAACCAAACCAAACCAAACCGCAGGAGGGAGTAATCTCAAGATTCCAGAACTTCTCTAAAAAAATTCCCAGAAAGAGGATAGGTGTATTTCGAGCACGACTCATCAATGACTCATCATCCATTATCAGTATGTCTGTGTCTGCTCGTGTCGTACTATTTTGTCGTGCTATTGTGTCAAACTATTGCCAAGGCAGGGCAGCTGATCACATCGGCTATGGAGCAGTTTCTGTGCCCTGTGCCAGGCGGTGCAGCTCTCAGCGTGATGACCAGCATCAAGTCCATGCCTTGATGATGGTTATCAGCATGCTGCTTTTAGTTACGAAAGAGATTTCAAAGGGCAATGCACCAGGTCATGGAACAGATCCGTATCCTTGTGTAGTGCTGCGTCACGCTGCAATATCCGCATGATCTTTGATCGGCTGTATCTATAGCAACGGTCATGCGGGATACTATAAAAAGATGAGGGCACATGAGCCTGTATCAATACCCATTACAAAGAGCAGAATCGTGTAGGCGTTGGCTGTACGTTGCAATGGATTGGTACTGAACACGCACATACTGTGCTGAACAAATAGTGTACGCCTGAGCCCATTCGCTAATGCACAGTGTTGCACTCGTTGAGTCGACGGTTCTCACTCTTATCGGCTTTTTTTCCAACAGAGGGCGGGCTTCGCACGGCATGTGCACTGGGTACTGTGCAATGCGCTCGTTCGCGGTAGGATTTCCTTTAATTGCAATACAATTTGTGTGTTTACTTGTGTTATGTTGAGGCATGTCCTTGCAAGCCGGTTTACCACCTTCATCCAGGGTGTCTGCAATGATACGCATGACTGGTACCAGGTTCTAACAAACTCGCTCTGCCAGATTCGTTTAATGCAGAACGATTTTTCCCGTTAAACAGTTACTGTTGTTGCTTCAAATAACATTCCGACAGGGCACATTCAGACAATGCTGTGGAATGTTTCCGTCGTACATGCAAGTACTAGGCCTGTTTATATCAAAGCAAATAATGACACAATTTTTTTCCTAGCGGCATTCTGGTGACATTTGACACAAGTCATAGGGCTGATCAATCTTTTTTCGATTAACTTAGCGCCGGGCACTGGGCAGCCCATGGCCTGCGGATACAGGGCTGTGTGCACCGATACAGGTCTGCGTCGGCACACTGCAGGACCGGTGGAAGCAGTACTTGATTGGTCCGGCCATGCGCTAGTCTTTCACACTTTGTTTATGATATCAGGCCCGCCGGAACCGGTCCGGTTGGTCAGGTTATTACCGGACCAGCCTTTTGGCCACCAACACTTGTTTCCTACTCTGGAGGGCATGTGTACCTGCCACATCATACACAAAGTATGAAAGGCCATCATATTACCGGACCAATCAAAAATTGCTTCCGGCAGTCCTGGATATGGAGGTTACCCGGCATACACATGACCTCTCAGCAGTAAACACACGTCGGGGGGGGGGGGGGGGGAGGGGGGCAAAAAGGTGTTCCGGCCATCCATGGCCTGACCAACCGGACCGGTTCCGCCGGACCTGCCCAGCAGTTACTAGTACCGTCTCCCGGGGGTCCAATACGTATACATTAGTCTAGTTAATACGCGACGCTGCCACAAAAGACCTGCGAACGCAGGGCTGTGTGCACTGACACAGGTCTACGTCCAGACATTGCTTTCAGCTACCGTAAAAGCAGAAATTTCAGGTGGTGTGATATTTTCGGTATTTTCCAAAATCGGCGGTTCGGTGGAGGGAAATTTTCGGTAAACCCGTTTTCAGGTAAGAGTACCTGTACTAGTACTGTACCGAAATTTTCGCCACGTTTTATTCTCGGTAAAGTTTCGGCACCGAAATTACCAAAAATAAAACACCACCGAAAGGTTCTGCTAAGACATAACTGGACGATGATTTACACGGGCTGGGTGCGTATTCGGAAACCAGTTCAGTGCGCTGTGTTGTTATGAGTGATATGACTACCAGAACCGTAAATAATATTTCCTTGCAACATGTCAACATGTCCTCGACACCGAAGATGTCATTTGACTGGAGTAGTTGTCCATGAGACACTGCACGAGAGTGTTCAAATTGTTTCTGCGAGGCCGCATCCATTACGGTACATTTCGCAAACGAATAGTCGTTGGGATGAGATGTGCAAATTACCGCATCTGAAGTGTACAGTAAATTTACAATGAGTGTGTACCCTACATTGATGTACAGCACTGCTAATTGAAATCCAGTCGGGACACTCAATTTGCGCAGCCCTAGACCTGCGGACACTGGGCTGCGAAATGGTGCAGGGCGCAAACTTGAGTGACCTGACTGGATTTCATTGATCACTACTGTATGTAGTGTGTATGTAGTGTTGTCCATGCAAACAAACAGCAACCTCATCTCATCCATTTCCCTTTTACACAATATTGCTTTGTGCAATATTTTATTTTGAAAATATATTATGTCAGTGCGTGCACCGAGTGAATGAACCCATGTGTATTGTGTTCGTCAAACCGCTAAGGACTTGGAGTGGCCTGTGCATTGGACATGACTTCGTAATGGCATCTACAAGTCAACAATGATCTTCTTTGCTCCTAAATGTGTGTGTTCATTGTGCCAGCGTACACACACACAGAGCTTCTCCATCATCCTACCTTCGGGATATTGCAGACACTCCTGTGCTGCGGCTTGCTTCCAGAATAAAGCTACGGCTATCGCCAGTAACGCTGATATCCGCGCCATCCTCCCCGTCCCGTTACGCTCCCTCTGGAGCTCGTGGAGGGTATGGAATTCACCTTACACAATGGCCACAACAGCAAGGGCCGTTTCTTTCTCGCTGCTCAAGCACGCACACACACTAGCCCCTGGCTGCTAAACACAGTGGTCGCAGGGATGCATGTACAGTGCAGCATGCAGACTTGCTGTCCTCAACACAGACAACAGTGCAGAATCTCTGTGTGTCGGACTGTTGCAGACTTTGCCTACATGGATTTGTGCGTGTGTCAACGGTTATCGCGTGTGTATGTTTGCTTGCGTCACATACCAACCCCTGACTACATGCAGATCTACCATGCACTAATGACAGACAGTCCGCTCAGGGAAGTATGTGTTCCTGTATGAATCCTATGCTTGACCCTATCATTTGCAGGTAAATCCGCAAATCACATCCAAATACACAGATTCTGTGGCATTGAAAATCCAGACAATGACTACTTTGCGACACGATTTCCAGGATGGCTGAGATGGCATACTCGCAGCAGAGAGACTGAACTGCGTTACTTTGTCTGTCCAGTCCAGTCTGGAGATCCCGACCGGCCGTGCCTGTCAGTTTGCTGCGACTAGTGACGGCTGCGTCAGCTGAGCACAGTCGGCACGCGTCTTTCATCGTGAGACAGACACCGACGCTGATCTGCATAGGAAATCAGGTTGCAGGTGGCACTCGGTAGTCTACCAGTACCAGTACCCACGGACTACACACCAGGCTACGTCTACCTCTGTCTCATCCCGGCCAGGCTGGGTCGCTGAGATGGTGAGAAGTAGCGGCGTTTTGGGGCATGGAGCAAAACTCGCGTGACATGGTTGATCGAACGCCAACACCAGCATCATAAGAAAATGTCCGTCAGAACAGCACCGGGATCGGATGGGCACGCAACGCCGAACCCTTTTGCAATCTACAGCATGCTGATAACCCACACTCTCAGCTACAAAGCGTTCGCAAAAATCCTGTTTTCTTCCTGTCATGCAGACTCGATCGCGTGCACAATCTGTATCATTGTACATGTATGTGATGATGGGTATAGCTAGGTCTGTCACGTGCATCGGGGGACAGTTGGATGACAGTCGGTTGCTTTGAAGGTGTCAGCCGAAAAAGTCCCACAGACCGCAAGAAGCACGGTGGCTGTCAAGTGTCATCGCGCCATCTCCCCACACATAATAATAATTGTGTGCTTTGAGTTTGAGGTCGCTCAACTACTTCGCTCAAGCTCTGTTTGGCAGTAGAACTACTTCATCAACTAGTTACTTCATGTACTGAGCAGTAGAGGTCCACATGCACATAATATTATTGACCGTGATTTAGCGCAATCATGTACTACACTCTCGTCTTATCAGAAAATGTCTTCAGAAAACTGGCACAACCTGGTACCTTTGTCCTTTCTGTTATGCTCCGTGAATGTTTGGCATAGTAGTAGTATGTTGGATGAAGAGGAGGAGCAGAAGGCGAGCAATTGCACTTAGCTTTGCATGGCACTGCGAATTTCAATGCTCCGCGATCAATGCTTTTAAGTTTAGAGGGAAGCGGAGGCTCAGGAAACCCTCGAGTTGCACTCGCTGACGCAGAATGGCCCTGGTTGTTGTTAGTACTGTTCGTGAATTGGAACCTCTTGATCTTCGCAGATACACTAGTGTGATGAGAGTGTTGTGTTGTGGGCCAGACCAGTAGCCTATAGGTGTTCATCAGAAGCATTGTTTGACGTTATGTTTCGGATACGGACAATCGTTGGTTGGAAGATTTTTCCATGGCTAATGGATCTCAATACCAATATAACTTAGTATAAGCGACAGAGGATTATAGAGTGTGGATGTTGGATGTTGGAATGGCTTTCATGGGTATCGCATTCCCCACGTGATGATTGCTCATGGAAAGAAGCGCAATCTAGATCTACATGAACTGCTACAAACTGACCCTTGGTTCGATAAACGCGCGTTCCAAAGCACAATAATGGTACCGACACTACGAGACATCCAAACAATTGCAGACAACCCTAAGGAACAGTTCACAAGCGACACAACGCCAAAAACTAAACTAATCGTCTATTGAGTTTTTTTGTCCTGTTTCGTGTGTTGTCGTATCCTGAACGGCCTACCTGTGTGTCCCCATACTGCACGCAACTGATGAAACTGCAGTACCATACACTGACATGAATTGTATCAGAATCTCAACACGCTAAACGAGAAGCATTGGCAAAGTCGCACATAATGCAGAAACCCATGGAAGACAAAAGTTTTAATTTTATTATTTTATTTATTATTTTATTTAACACAAGAAACTAACTCTCCTCCTCCATGCGCTCTAAAGCCGACCATTGCTACCCTCGGTAGCCTCCGTAGCCATTACTCACACCAATAACTTCAAACAACGAAGGGGTTTTATTTAACAATTACAAGAACAGTGCAATACACATTGTGGTGGTGGTGGTGGTGGTGGTGGTGGTGTTCGGGGACGTGAGGGACTTCAGCTTGTTTCAACTGGAAACGCTGCCTTCTCAAACTTGCCCAGCAGTCAAATTATATGGTCTCAATAAAGAAATTGAAAGAAATACTCTCAACACAATCCTGCTTCATTACGATGGTCTATGACGAGGCATGGAATTGAGTTTCAACAACTCCCTGTCACAGACCCTGCTTCAGACACAGAGCAAGGATTCATGCCCAATAAAAGCATTACAATCATCATTGCAAATCTGTACACTGCATGCTGCCTTCTGCCTCCAATTCAACATCATCGGAAACAGTCGCTATCACTCGAGACAGGCAAGACCTCGATTGGATACCAGTACATTCTAAATTAGAATCAGGCCACAGCTGCCTGCAGACAGTCGTATTTGAACTGAGCTGACAAAAACACTTTGCAGCAGACCCCCGTCGTGGTCGGACGGTAGGTATTTCCCAAATCGGCCCGTTTTTCATAATTTACTTCGTCTGGAGGTAGGGCTACATGCAGTTGGATAATGACTATCAGTATGACGTCATTGTGCATGTCCCTTCCATGCAAATAGACGGTAGTCACTGTTATCCACGACTCATGAGCTGTGTGCATGTGTAGTGATCATGTTCGGAGTTTCTTTGTGAGTGCCATCAACAGGCAGCTATCAGTATCATGACAGCTAGCTATTCACGGTGTCCCTTCCATGCAAATAGACGGTAGTCACTGTTATCCACGACTCATGAGCTGTGTGTAGTGATCATGTTCGGAGTTTCTTTGTGAGTGCCATCAACAGGCAGCTATCAGTATCATGACAGCTAGCTATGTGTAAGGATTATTATTATAGAGCCTTAGAGGGGTTGCAGGAGGCCTGTCGATATGGTCCGTACGTAGGTCTACGTGTATACGTGTATGATAGATGTCACACAAGCCAAATCACTCAGGCGGCGGAGGAAAGAGGACTATTGTCATTGATTTCTGGTAATAGAGGCGGTAACCTGACAACTGGCATAGCCTACATAACACGTCTAACTAATGTTAATTTTTACCATTTCGGAGGTGCCGTTCCGCCGATTAGATCTGTCTGATACCAAGACTTGTGTAAAAGTCTTGTTCATCTAAGTGCGCGTACTATTAGAATTTTAGCTAAGTAGCGAGGTAGTACCAGTAGTGACTGCCTGGATTATCATGGATTTTAGCTACTCATTCTGCAGATAGAGCTGTTTCGTCCTTTGTGGACTCATCCAGCGCGGTACAGAAGAAATGAGGCCGAACCTTATACTGATAGCAATGAAAAATAATTTCTTTGAGTTTGAGGTCGCTCAACTACTTCGCTCAAGCTCTGTTTGGCAGTAGAACTACTTCGTCAACTAGTTACTTCATGTACTGAGCAGTAGAGGTCCACATGCACATAATATTATTGACCGTGATTTAGCGCAATCATGTACTACACTCTCGTCTTATCAGAAAATGTCTTCAGAAAACTGGCACAACCTGGTACCTTTGTCCTTTCTGTTATGCTCCGTGAATGTTTGGCATAGTAGTAGTATGTTGGATGAAGAGGAGGAGCAGAAGGCGAGCAATTGCCCTTAGCTTTGCATGGCACTGCGAATTTTAATGCTTCGCGATCAATGCTTTTAAGTTTAGAGGGAAGCGGAGGCTCAGGAAACCCTCGAGTTGCACTCGCTGACGCAGAATGGCCCTGGTTGTTGTTAGTACTGTTCGTGAATTGGAACCTCTTGATCTTCGCAGATACACTAGTGTGATGAGAGTGTTGTGTTGTGGGCCAGACCAGTAGCCTATAGGTGTTCATCAGAAGCATTGTTTGACGTTATGTTTCGGATACGGACAATCGTTGGTTGGAAGATTTTTCCATGGCTAATGGATCTCAATACCAATATAACTTAGTATAAGCGACAGAGGATTATAGAGTGTGGATGTTGGATGTTGGAATGGCTTTCATGGGTATCGCATTCCCCACGTGATGATTGCTCATGGAAAGAAGCGCAATCTAGATCTACATGAACTGCTACAAACTGACCCTTGGTTCGATAAACGCGCGTTCCAAAGCACAATAATGGTACCGACACTACGAGACATCCAAACAATTGCAGACAACCCTAAGGAACAGTTCACAAGCGACACAACGCCAAAAACTAAACTAAACGTCTATTGAGTTTTGTTGTCCTGTTTCGTGTGTTGTCGTATCCTGAACGGCCTACCTGTGTGTCCCCATACTGCACGCAACTGATGAAACTGCAGTACCATACACTGACATGAAGTGTATCAGAATCTCAACACGCTAAACGAGAAGCATTGGCAAAGTCGCACATAATGCAGAAACCCATGGAAGACAAAAGTTTTAATTTTATTATTTTATTTATTATTTTATTTAACACAAGAAACTAACTCTCCTCCTCCATGCGCTCTAAAGCCGACCATTGCTACCCTCGGTAGCCTCCGTAGCCATTACTCACACCAATAACTTCAAACAACGAAGGGGTTTTATTTAACAATTACAAGAACAGTGCAATACACATTGTGGTGGTGGTGCTGGTGGTGGTGTTCGGGGACGTGAGGGACTTCAGCTTGTTTCAACTGGCAACGCTGCCTTCTCAAACTTGCCCAGCAGTCAAATTATATGGTCTCAATAAAGAAATTGAAAGAAATACTCTCAACACAATCCTGCTTCATTACGATGGTCTATGACGAGGCATGGAATTGAGTTTCAACAACTCCCTGTCACAGAC